CGATATTAAACAAATTAATATCTAAGTGTGCTTCGTATGCTTTTATCGGTGCGTTATTGGCCGAGTGCTTACGGTCGTTGACTTCAAACCACTTACGTTTTAAAACTGTTCGTGCCTTAAATAATGCATGTTTTTGTCACCTGAAGTCTTCTTCCATCAGTAAAGCTGAACAGTCGTTATATGATCTGTGCTTAATTGTCTCAAAGCTAAACCAGACAAAAATAATATGATAAAATAAATGAATAAATAAATAAATATTGCATTGAAATTGTCACAGAAGAAACGTGTAAATAAACACAAACTTTAATACACTATTTAAAAAAATACTATCGAACTGATCAACCGGTCATGCTTCATTGTAGCTAAATTCGATCATTTTAAGGCTACACGTATAGGCATGTTTATTACACTGATTAAGTTGACCAATTTCAGACCCAGGCAAATAAACCGATTGTGCGACCGACTCGACTTTTTGGCCAGGTTTATGAAGTTCTTTTATAGTCATATAATGCCATTGAAAGTAATTTTCTTCTTTAAATGTGTATTGCAATTTTGAAACATAAAAGTACTATAGAATTAAAATGTTTTCTATAATTCATATTCATACCTGCCTGTAAAAAATATAATATGAAGTTATAAATGCAACATCCTGTATAATTCCATGTTATTTGCATTTTTTTTATTTGTGCACAATGACGATGAAATGGAGGAACATATTGAGACAATCTGTACAAATTCGTTCTGTTAAAGTTCTCGCTTTTAAATGGCAGCTGATGTAGTTCGCAATATTAGTTTTTTTCTTAATAAATTTTATAAGTTACATGTTTATTAATATAGCTAATGGGCCATTTCACTAGAAACCATTTATTTTTTATATTAAGCCTATTCAAGAGAGTATGTAACTTGCGGATCATTAGATACCCGCACCCGACATATGACTTTGTACTGGTATTTAAAGTTAAAAAGTAAAATGTAAATGAGCCGCGTCACGACAAAACCAACATAGTGCGTTTGCAACCAGCAAGGATCCAGACCAATCTGCGCATCCGCAATTCGCTTACCAACTCTATTACAAGTACAGACACTGATAGCGAACAGCATAGATCCTGATCAGACTGCGCGGATGCGCAGGCTTGTCTGGATCTATGCTGGTCGCAAACGCATAACGTTGGTTTTGTCGTGACGCGGCTCAAATGGTATTTTTTTGCATGTATTGCATAAAAAGAATAGATTTTGGCATAACATTCAATGTCGTCGAATATTAAATAGAGCATTTAAGGGCATAATGGAATTTTAAGCTTTTATAATGATATATCGTGTTCCAAAAGTAGATTTTTTATTGTTGTTTTCATAATGAGCTGGTTATACAGATCATTTCAAGTTAGTTCATCCACATATGCATAAACCAAGTAAGGTTATCTGATTTTGACATTTGATATCGCGAGAAGGGTACATTTCTTTGTTGAAGTATTGAAAGCTCGTTATCACGATACATACCATCAATGAGTGTTTTGTCCGCTTTTTTAATGTCGCTTAACGTTCAGGCCATTAACCAGTTATATATAGATACAAGCGAGGTGCAACCTACGCGTAAAATGGCTGCAAAGGCATTGTCAGCTGTGTGCTGCACTGGATACCTTTAAAAGAACCGAAACAAATGCTACATAGATATATAGATATGTATGTGCAGGGAGAGAGTTACGACACGAATATCTCATTACCTCCAAACCAGTAGTACTCGTTTTATACTGTCACAGGACGGGTACACTTAAGTTAATGTCGTATGTGCCAGGAATCCGACACCATGTGTCTCAGTGCTGACGCACTCGTAATCGTTTTATCCTAATGCGTAGGACATTAATTAACTATATTCCAATTAAATGATAAACTTTAGATAATTAAATGATTGACAATAAAACATCAAATTCGAGCATAAGCATGGTATATTAGACATTAAAGGCATCAGACCCATTACCATAACAAAGCACACGATTTTTTATATGAAATGTTTGAAGCCAGACCTATGTAGGTACTGACTATCCAAGTCATATCACAAGAAAATAAAAGATACATAGATTACTCGTATATTCCTGCAAAGCAAACTTGTTTTCTAGTTTCTTAAAGTAAACAAATAAATAAACTGAAATATTCATATGTTTATTACAAAGTAATGAAATAGCTTTTTCACCGATGCCTTCTGTCGAAATGAAAACCAGTTACCTTTAGGTGGATACAACGTGTTTACGCATAATTAATTTTAGCCTGTTCAAGGGTCTGCAATCTCGGTAAACTACAGACAGTTGCACAGTCCATTATTTGTATATAGAGATAAGATAATATTGGCTTTCCATTTGAAAAACTGTAAATCAAAAGGTTTTGCAACAAAGAAAGTAATTTAAAATTGGTCCTTAATTGTAAAGATGATGTATAGGAATGTTTTAAATACATGCGTCTTATTCAAAATCATAGAAATAATTTTGTTTATCAGTCTTTTTGTGTAACGCATATTCTTTTTGTAAAAAGTTTTTGCTTGGATATTTTTACCTGCAGTTATGTCCAATTTGCCTTTCTTTTTGAACATGTAATGTTTTCACTTTGTACTCAGTTCTGCCTTTTTGCAATAAATAATTCTGATATTTAAAAACAAAATATTCTGTGATTTCATTGTTGTGTGAAACTTGATGTCAATGATGTAATGGATACTTTTAAATATCTGTAGCACTAACATGTATATATATCTCTGAAAATGACTAAAACTATAGTTATGTTTTTTTATATTTTAATCTTGTAAATCAAGTCATGACATTCATATATTAATTGTATTGAAAATAGTGACAATTACACGTTCTGCTTTCGCAAGTCAGTTACGCTTAATTAAAAATTTATCGGACACAGAATATATAAATGCCGTTATGAAATAGAAATAGATTTTGAGTTCATTGTTAAATAATGTTACACGGTATGGGTTTCAGATAGTATGACGTAGACCGAATGCCTGAATGATTAATGACAAAGATTTGAACTACAATATTATACAACAAGTCGAAAGAAAAAAAATAAAGAAAAAAACAACAACAACAAAAACAAAACCTGTCCGCAGTTCCTCTTTTTGTGCAATAAGAAAAGTTAGAAAATGGATAAAGATTTGTGTTACATTAATCATAACACACATATAGAATTTTAAAAACAATCTAAACAACACTTAATATATAGTTATAGTTGAAACGGATAAATGGGTCAACGTTTTTCGAAAAATGTTGAACAATAATAACAACAACAAAAAAGATAAATCAATTTCATGATTTTCATAAATTAATTATCTATCTCGCTACAGTGGTAGAATTATCTGATAAGTACAACGTTAACGCATATGCACTTGCTTTTTGTATGTTCAGTTACGGAAATGCCTATGTAACACATATTACCATAATAACGCCGCGCTGTAACAAGGGTGTCTTGTCTTTTTGTTTAATAAATAGAACGTCTCTACTGTAAGAACCTAACATTTCGCTTGTATTGTATATCAAAGCGCTAAAAGTGCTGTATGCGGTAAGCACAAGAATTGTCAAAGCATAGATAGTCAGACTATTCTCCCCATTACCAGTTCCTTTCTTGATATTCCTATTTTGGGGGAGAACTATCTGCGTATGTACTTAAATTAACTGTTAAACCTACCGCCTGACACAATTTTACATACATTTTATACTGAGAGATATGTTACCCGTTAACTTTTCTTGAAACTCAACCGATAAGAATAGCCTGTCGTCTGTAAGTTCGGAACCTGTTTATCGGTAATTCAAATGCCATGAGGAATTCAGCACAATTCAAATGCTATGAGGAATTCAGTGCTATTCAAACTCCATGTGCAATTCAGAGTGCTACATATTCCATGAGAAATTCAGTGCAATTCAGATTCCATGTATTCTTCAGTGTAAATCAATTTCCATGTAAATTCAACACAATTTCAATCCATGTACAATTCTGTAATTAAATATCGAATTTTTATTTATACCATGAGAAATTCAATATGTTGCAAATCAATCCATCTCTGAATCTGAATACTGAACAAGGTTTGAAATGAAGTCCACTGGATTAAAAAATATGGTAAAGGCGGCAGTCAAGAAAATAAATTTATAGACTTACAACTAGCAGAACCTGAAAAAAGACCTGCATGAAATACATTTACCAGCCACAGCAACTGAAAAAAAGGCCTTCATGAAATACATTAACCAGCCTCAGATTAGCCATGTATCAAACAGTAAAACTCAATCTAATATACATATGATTATACTTATATGTAAACAATATTAAAACACCATTTATCATTCATGTAAACAAACCAAGCGAAAGTAGGTCTCGTACAAGGCAGCGATCGTTCAAGCTTAACTCACTCAGATACCGCTTAAATATCATTTTATAATCTTAAACATATAATAGCAATACAATTGATAAACTGAAAAATGTAAAATCACAGCTTATTCGTGGAAAATGACGCTTGTTGAAAACCTCTGTCTTCATCTTGTAAAAATAATGTATGCAGATATATTCATGCGAGATACTGCTGAACTCTCAATTCTCACTTCTTCACGAGAAATACTTAATAAACATTTGTAAAGTAAAATAAAATACATAGAAATAATTGACATATATCTATCTATATAAGTTAAGCCTATGACAAAATGAGATAACACTTTTTACGACCTTATCACACGAAACCGCGAAAACACGATTGTTCACAATCGCCAGAAGTTGTTATAACTTAAACGGCATACCGTAATAAGCGTAAATTCACAAACTATTGCAAAGATTTGTCATATTATTTTTAAATAAAAAAAACAAAACAAAATAAATGCAAACTCTTTTTCATTTCGTTCCAATATAAAAACAGACACTTTGAATAAGTTATAAAAACAACAAAATTAGTGGACAATAACATTTCATTTCATGGATTAGTCAGAAATAGTTATTCTGGTCTGGTTATTTTAAATTTCATGATATAGGTATTGAATACAAAATGGACAACAATCCTGCAAGGAGATCGTCAGAGAGCTCTGAAGAAGAAGATACGTTTGTATTGGCACCTGAGCCACCCGATGAACCTGATGATGTGTGGGACGATGCACCATTATACCCAAATGTAGAACATCACCAAGAAAAAAGTACATACTTGATTTATTTCTATCATTATGCTGCATCTTCCGTGATAACATCATTAGATTTTTTATGATTATTCTTTTCTCTGAAAAAAAATCGACAGAAACATATTATTGACAAAAACTATATAATTGATAATAACCCGCGATTAATAAATAGTTTATATGTAATCGTGTAATTTTTAACAATGATTAACTAAATGGTACTAACAGTCGAAAAGAAAATGTAATAATAATATGCTTGCTGTTTTAAGAAGATACATGAATATACAATAATACTCACTATTAATTTCAGCTTTGAAATCAGAAGTATCTAGTGAACGTAACAGAGAACCGCCACATACAAAAGCGTTTCACGAAGAAGCGAAAGGTAAAATACCACGGCAACAGTTGCGAGAAGAAGATTTGCCTGTCGGTAGAACAGTTTTGGAAACAGATGTCGATACACAGCAACAGAAATGGATCCAACAGGCAAGTTAAAGTGTTTTGTTTATTCCTGGCACTTTTTTATTTATATAATAGACAAGAAAATGAGTTAATTTTTAATAACAGAAAACACATTTTATTTAGTTTAGTCTTAATACATTAAGTACTTAAAATAACAAAGTTATGTAATAAAGTTACGACTGTAACGGTTTTTTAATAAGTATGCTTTATTTCAGGAAGTAAAGTCGACGGATGTTGATAAATGGTGAGTCTTGTTTACAATTCTAAATAAAATGATAAAACTTTCACAGAAACACAGACGTGTTAAGTAGTATATAATGAATACAGCCATGATGTTCTACAGCTTGCAAAATCTTTATTGTAATGATAATATTAAGTACGTAATTAAGCATAATATTACTTTGTACACGTTTTCTGTTGTATTTTTGAAAATAAATTTGCCTGAAAATTGTTAAAATTAATGGATTTAAAGAAACTAAACCAGTTTCATGTAACCTCTAAACGGCTGTATATAGAATCTTTGAAACTTCAATTCTAAATAAAATGTACAATTGATCTATTCTTGAGTACATTTAGAAAACCAGCAAAAAAGTGTGTATGCTGAAACGAGAGCGTCGTTAACGGAACAATTCAAGAGTGTTTGGTTTTCAGTTACTGATTTAAACCAGACTTGCTTTACTGTATACCTAAAGGAAAATGTTTTCTGATACTAAATCGAGCTGTCCAATTAGAGTGACGTTGAACAATTTTTAGAGTATTTAGCTGTTTTATTTGGCTGTATATTAGCAAAATAAAAAATGCATCTTTTTTAAAGTATGTTACTCCCATCCAAGACTTATAAATAATTTGATTATGTCTGGTAAAGATTAAAGATAATATATCGCGAACACTTTATCAACCGGTATTTTGAAGAAAAACGAGTCAAGTAAAAACAGAATAGATTTGAATTTAATTTCTTTTGCAAAGAAGATGTCCTTACTTTTAGTTTTATTATTCCAAATGCCTTGACACAAAACTTCTTGTCCTCGTCAGTTTTTTGCGTTAATTGCAATACTGCGTACAACCGGCGATGAAATGCAATATAAAATGAAAAGTTGCCGATTAAACTGAATGTTACTGACGTCTTGAAATTAATTCATTGTAGAATCTATTTCAAAAATATAATTTCAACCTTTGTTATTTCTCATTTATACAAACAATGTCTTAAAGCGCACTATTTACAGAAAAATATCAATTGTAATTCTGTGTAAACAATAATTATCTCTAGATACTGCTTACATTTTCTCCGAAGCAGTCTGTGCTTCATGACTGGATAACGCTTCAGTTGTATGACGCTTCGTTTATGTAAGTAGTGAAATTAAGACAAAAGCCACATGCCAACAAAATTCACATTTGCTAACATCAATATTCAGAAATGTGGCCATAACATGTTTACCTAATGGTCAACTTTATTTAAATTTTGCATGCAGATATCCTTTTAAGAATATATATCTGACCTATGTTGTCAATTTTTCAATTCCTTATATTGCCCATTAGGGTGGTCATACGTTAAATTTGAATTTAATTTTGTGTCAAAAGTAAGTTATTTTAAGTGCAGTGTATAAAAATCTATTATCAGGATAGAGTGTTACATAAATGAAAAAATGTGAAAAATAATAAACTCCAACATCTTAGGATGTACAATTTAAACCTTTTTAAGGGAGCAAAACAGGAGTTGCATATTATTATTATTATTATTTTATTATCATTATTATTTTTATCATAATGATTAATATTTTTGTTCGCCAGTTTTACCCTTTTGGTCGTTTCATGAACTTTGGACTCAATATCAATAACACATGAATGTGTTCGCTGTATCTTGATTTTATGAGAATGAAGGCAATATCAGTGTCTTTTATCTAAAAATAGTGCGTTTTAGACAATTGTTCGTGCGTCTCATTCAACGCGAAATACTGACGAGAAAGAGGAGAGTTGAGTCAAGTTGAAATATTAAAACTAGACGTAAAAACAATTAATTTCAATTCTATACTATTTTTTACATTGCTTGTTTTTGTCAATAAAATAAGCTATTTTTAGCCTCTGAAATTCCGATAAACATTATAATCATATTTCAGGAAACTAGAGGCACACGTGAACTCAGACGAGGTTAAAATTACGTTCCATGTTCTGATACCAAGTAATGTTGATTTCCAAACAGATACAGATAAAGTGGTCTTATGCATATGGGAAAGAGATGATAGTCAACATCATTTTATAGAAGTTGAGATGGAATTTGTTTGGTAAGCAATATTAAAGGCTGTCTTGATTTTATCAATATATTTAGTTGCTTACGGCAAAATGTTTGTCTTATCTTTGACTTATGGAACAATCAAATACATCTACATGTATTTATAACATCCTTTTCAGTACATTTCCCCGATGAGATATATATCAAACATAAGACCTACTACTTTATATGTGCATGTGTATGATAATTAATTGTGAGTATAAAGAACTACATTGAGCAATTACAGCTTATTTGTTTGCATAAAAGCTCCCTTTTTATTTCTTTTTCTTCTTATTTTATTGATTTATTATTAAAATCAATAGCAATTGGAATTAACTTTTATTTACAGTAAAAACATGTTAACAAATGCAGCTTTAATTTTAGATACACGTCTGTTCATCAACATCTATCACACTATTTATATAAAATTCTAACTTTTAAGGATATTAGATTTTGTCATGATAACAACACGTTATATACTTTGTCATTACTGTTTCTTTCTGTTAACAAATTAAATTTTGGTGTGTGTCGATGACGATGCACTGTTTTCATGATCTTTTTTTTGCATATACAGTTTCAACTAAACCCCATGTACTGCTTTTATAAGATTTGGTGTATTCGAGTTTAATTCGTTAATTACGAACTTACAGTATTTTGCTGTACGTAGCCGTTGGTGAATATTACGAAATACAATTATGACAGTTTGATCTTGCAATGCCCTTGACGTGTATAAATGTGACGTTCTCTACATTGTAAGTTTTATTAATTTATCAATATGTTCTGGTCGTTATTAATTAAAACAGCAATAAACGGTGAACTGTTCTGACATAAATCATTATATCATATTTATAGGAACATATCAGTCCAACAATTCAATTAGATACCCTTTCTTTTGAAGTTATCGGCAAGACGGGAGGAATGCTGCGCAGCTGACTGGTTACATTATACTGAAAAAGGACAAAAAAGCACTTAGTTCTTTACGTTATAACTACTATATTGAAAGAAGCGGAGTAAGTCTTGAAACAAATATCCCAAGACAGTCAACTTGGGAACATCGCTTCTTTGATTCAAAGTTAAACAAAAGGAAACTGCATTGTACCGCTTTAAAGAACAACCAAGGTATGTTGGAGACAAGTGCAATATTTGCATCTCTTTTATGCTTGATTATATAACAAATCCAAATTAAACTATATTGATACTAATAAATAAAACATTAAGTAAGGCCATATGCAAGTTTTTAGATAGATGCCATCTTAAAATGTCGAATGTAAGCAGTCTCTTATAATTAATTTCATACAATTTTATCATGATTTCATGAACATTTAAGGGAATTATATCATAAAAATGCCATTTATTATAAAGAACTTTGACAAGCTTTATACGAACGATCAGATAAATGATAAAAATGCATAACAATGTCCATCGAGTATTCGTCAATGAATACAATATGACATCTGGTGTTTATTTGTTGACACATGCTAAATATAGAACGATTGCCAATATGCTCTATTTATGTGACTTTTATAAGTATTGTTTTCAAATTGATTTAAATAGTTTTAAGTCAATGGTCTCGTTATTTACTAGTAAAAAATTTTAATTTTTTTTATTGTTATTATTATTATTTTTTTATATTTTCAAATATAACTTTTAACTGAGTTTTTCAAGGGAACCCTTCCTCATATGAGGGGGCACTTGAGCCCCCTTCAAAGTTTTGGGGCAAACAATAGCGGAGTTTTTTTCCAAGGAAAAAAAAAGAAAGATGGGTGAAATGCAAAAAAGTTTTTTTACCGATATTTTTGTATTATTGCTCGGAGGTCCAAACCAAAATCCTCTAGTAAACTGGGGGAAAAAAACGACACATATGAGCGATTGCTTAAGACTTTGCATAGAAAAAGGATATAAAATCAATGACAAGGGGGTATTATATTTGTTTAAATGATTTAATTTTATTTGTCTCTTGTTTATAAAAGTTCAACTCTACACAGAAAACTTGATTTGTTTGACACGGACAAAATTGAAATAATAACGAATTCCTCTTCATGTTGTATACAGTAGTGTCCTATAACAGAGATATTAAAACATTTATAATATTCTATTACTATTTGTATGTGGTGTAATTGTACATATAGCCTGTATGTATGTAAATAATTATATCGTGCATACAGCATTGCACGCTAGATATTATTCATCATGAGAAACGTATTTTATTGATAGTTCTCTCAATGTATGTAGACTTCTGAGTGTGATCAAAATATAAGGTATATAATCTATATTTTAAATCAGTATTTTACATTACAATAAAGAATGTCTGCATTTGGTCTGGAATTTAAAAAAATCATAAATTTCAGGTGAAAAAAACTCTTTGGGGACTGTATACAGATGTTCTACACAATCTCGTAGATATTGATGAAGACTTAAGTATCCAGAGAAAAATATCTGTTTGCTTGCTGATGCTCAATGTTCGTCATTTTGTTGGCTACAAATCAGGTGACCCTGCAAACGAGCTCTTGTGCAAAGGTTTTCGGATGACAGTATGCACGAAAAATAGATCAACGGTTGAATGGGACTACTTGCAACATATATTTTTCGTTCAGGATAGGTTTGATATCGTTTGTACTTTATATTATTATTTCATTCTTTCTTTCTAGCTCTTTTTTTATTGATTTCTCTTTAGAAAAAAATACATCCCTTTCATATTTTATATACGTTATTTTAAATTCATTTCAATTATTTTTCAAAGTAATAAGAAAACGAAGTACCAAAATGTACCAAATTGATTTTAATACGGATTTAAGACCATGTGACACAGGTCTATACTTTAACAATCGACATTGCCCTTATCACTGTAAATTAAACAACGCAAACGAAATCACTCATTATATTGCAAAAGTAAGTATAAAGTGAAAAATAAAATAATTGTTAAAAACTAGTTTGTAAAAAATGCTCAATGGGTCTCAAAACAGGAGTATATAGCTTAAAAAAAAACTATGTAATGTTTTTTGACCAAAACCCTTATGTAAAAATTTTTTAAAATAAATATGAAAAAAATAGGCACATGAAGTGTTACGGAACCTTTTAAAAAATTTCTGCAACGTCATTTTATAAGTTTCGAATACTTGGGCATGCTTGATAAATTTAAAACGGGCCCGATTTCATTCGGGAAAATAATTATTTTCAAAATTTAAGATAAAAACAATTGCAATAATTGAATAAATTTGTATGTGTAATGAAAAAAGACAACTTTAATACCAGTATGTACAAACATAGAATTTTTATCGTGTCTTCACAGTATGCCTTTTTTATTGTGTTAATGGTAATTTGTGCATACAGTTGTATAATAATGGTCATTGATTTACACAATAATAATTGATTTACTCATTTATATCAGTAACGTTAATTATTTGGAATAAGAACTTAAATGACAATAACAACAACAACAACAACAACAACATTCTAGACTATAAATGTAATGATGTTTAAGCTAGACTTTTAAGTGTTTTAACGCATCAGGACAAGCTGTAATAAAATGGAGCAACAGATGCTACCGCTTACCATGGAATATAAATATCAACACAGAGATTTAATTAGAAATGTTATATTCGTAATAGACATGAACGACTTTTACATGACATATAATTACAATTAGTACCGTAGAATAAGACTTGTAACAAGACTTGAAACAACCCAATCCTTATTGAAGTTATTTCTAAGAATAAGTAAGTTTAAAAGAGATTTAGGTATTGCGTAACATATACATTACATGTTGAATTACAAGTCGGCATATTTCTAATTGATATAATAATGTTTTCAAAAACGATTTTGTATGAGATTAAAATTCAATAAGTCGTTTTATTTTCTTTTGCAGGATGAGTATTAAAATGAAACTGATTGAGTTAGCAAAGGATATCTGTTCTGATGTTTCAATCGGGAAAAATCCCTCTTGGATGTATTTGCTGCCAGTTCTTCATTTTCTTAACGGATTTTGTAGACCTTTCCAAGAGATTCCCTTGGCATTTGACCACCAAGCTAAAATACCAAAATGGTGGGGAATTGACAGCGAAATAGAACACATAACGGACATCTTCAAAAAGACACATTATCATTGGTGCATGTACGTTAATGTATAGTCTCTTGCGTTCATAAACAGCGATCAATAAGCTTTTTGTTGTCGTTTTGGCGTCTATACATGTACTACTGTTCACTTGAAATACTACAATTCAGTAAATCGCATTTTGGAAGGAAATTAATAAAACATGCTCGCCAGGTGTCATACATGAAACTCGACCATTTTTCCATCAAATGGCCGATATCGATTACAACTGGATCTAAACGATCTTAATTTTATTGCGCTTTGATATTACAAATCATTTTAATATAAAAATGGGCAATAATAATCCGCCATACTTGTTACTAGTTAAACATAACTTTATATACTGAAAATTCTTAAAATATATTACGACAGTACCACAATATGAAATAATAAATATCACTGTCTAGTTGTACGTCATTAATATTAATTAAATAATATAGTTACGGCCAGAATTTTTTCTTCAAATAGGTGGATGTTTAAGGTATCTCATCTTACACAGAGGTCCATTTGTTCGACCCCTACAAAGGTCATAAGTATTTTTTAAATCAATAAATAATATCATTATCCTTATTGAATTTGATACGGCTTCTGTTTGTGTTATTGTAAAACTTCAAGTCAAGAAAGATGATTACACAATTTCAGACAATAAAACAAAAGCCCAACACATTACAATATTGAAAGTTTTTTACTGTTTCAAATTGTCAGACTATGCTTGTTCGTATTTCAGATCATTGCGGCATGTTATAGAAAAGTTGAAATACATGTTTGAAGTAGACATTTATCTGCCGAGGACAATGATGGCAAGCCTTCGCATAGAAGAACTTAAAGATGCTTTGGATTATGACATTTTTCCGTATGAAATTGGTTGTGCCTCAATTTACTTCTTCCTGAGGACATTACGAGTATATGACGTTTCCGAGAAGGTTAATTAAAAATTAAGACATCTATAATTTTAAAATTGAAATAATATGAAACGTTGGTTCATTGTTAGATTTTCGAAAATGATGGTAAGCTTTAATCAAGTTCTTAAACTCACATATAGCATTGTGATTTTGGATTGTTTAAACATAATATTGTCTAATATGAGCATGATCGGAAGTAAATTATTGATCGTGGCTAAAATGAACAATTATTGATATTTATATAAATTGATATTATAAAATTTAAACATTGATACATTATTACTAGGCTCTGCAGAAATGCACGGAAACTCTTCAACGACATATGTTGACCGCAAAGAATGACAGGTAGGTTTTGCACTGTTTTTATTGAATATGTTTGTTTTTACAAACCATATACAAGCGTTTGCAACGGACTTGCTCTTTCCTTTCACTTATAAATGATAGCCTTGCATACAGAGATCGCATGATTTGCGATGAAACATTTTAATGATGATCTTTATTTGTGGTTTCAATTCTGTCCAACACAATTTATAATGATTTGATATGTTGTTGATTTTTTCATTTCAAATTAAATGTTAATGAATGAATACACTGTATAGTTCAACTAAATATGCATGCACTTCAGGTTTGGGCCGAGGCGCGTTTTGATTGGTCTAAGAACGTCTTGCGATTTATACAGCGAATCACTTTGTCGGTTGAATTCTGAACTCACGTTGAATACGGTGGTCATATTCTTTTCTTTTGTGGCACGGTTTGACATTTTACAGCTTAAATCTTCGAAATTGGCAGAAGAATTATCAAAAGTTTCATTAAATTTGAATGTTGTCAGTGCAAAAACATTTGAATGGATAAACAAAATTCAACGCAAACATCTGACCATGTTCAATCTTCTTCAGGTATGTATTAAATACCTTTGAACGAATACTATTTGTTTTAAATGTAAAATAATTTGAACTAATCTTAATTAAAAACTTAATACAATATAGATAAAGTTACAATTTCAGGAAAACCTTCTATGCCAAATACGTTTTTTCTGAAAAATAAAATCATGATGTTTAAAACTTACCGTTACATTATAAATTCAGACTGTAAATATAATATATTATATCTAAAATAAATAGATCTGGGATCAACTTCTACGGCTAAGAGGACTTCCACACACTTTTCATATTGAAGAGTGGATGCAGATTGTAATTACAGAATTAAGAGAGAGGATTCATACGACTTTAGTGGTAATATTGTTAACTGATTCATTTGCAAAAAAAAAAACAAAAAAAACCCCAAAAAACACAAACACTTCATTTTTTAAAGTCGTCGAGAATTTAAGCATTCAGATATAAGCTGGCCATGACAAGGTTCATCTGACTAAAGTACTTATTTCTTTTATGTAGATCTGATGGCGACCGTTTATAATGTTTCGCCTTCTTTATAATTCGGATTTCAAGAGAAAACTATTTTAGTCATGCAATCAAACCGGTTTAGAGGGGCATTATCCGTGGCAGAGTGGTTAAGGTCGTTGACTGCAAACAACTTGCCCCTCACATCTGTGTGTTCGAATCCCGACAGGGACTTTGGATTCTTTCATGTGAGAAAGCTATCAAGCTAGCTTATGGAACGTCGGTGGTTCTACTCTGGTGCCCTTTGGTGCCTGAAATAATGCACGGGAGGGCACCTGGTGTCTTCTTCCACCAGAAAAGCTAGAACGTCGCCAAATGAACTATACTGTGTGCCGTAAAATAATACGTCATATAATAACCCAATCAAACAAACAAACATAGGCTTTGGAAGAAGTATCAAAATACCGTAATCCGTGGAAGTTGGAAAAATTGTTGATTTTCGTTATTACAAATTATTTATAACAAATTTACTTGAAAAAGTAGAGTCAATTATTAATGGGCAAGATTGTTTTGTCATGTTTCCTGTCGGCTACATGAAAAATGCCATGTTTGTTCTGTAAATCGTGAAAATTACCCATTGGTATTTGGTCACGGTCAGATCTAAAAGCGGAGCGCTTTTAGAGCTGATTTTAATCAGATTGTGACAAGGTTTTTACTAAAAAGTTTATTTCAATAATGTGATAAACACAATTTTTGTTTGTGTAATTCCATTACTGAATTTATAGAACTCGTTGAATTAAAAGATTATACAATGTTCGCAAGAGCCTCGCATTGAAGGCAAATAAATTCAGTGTTGAATCAACCTTAAACTCTTATTTAATCTATTTTACGAACATGTCTTTTTTACCATATACGCTTAAACAATTTGTTAAAGTAGTTTGATCAGCATCATGGTTGTTTTAGTAATTATAACGCAGATTAATCTTTATGATGATTGTCGTTAACTCTCTTTTACATTTCAGAAAGACTTCAGAGGTCAGTTCAAACCTCGTCTAGTTGAAGCCTACATTGCTGGAATTGATACATACAGCAAAGAGCTTCAAGATCTTCTGTCATCCTTTATTCTCATGGTATTTGATTTTTTTCTGTGATTTCTCTTTATCAATTTTAAGCCTATGTTCAAACAGCTTTTTCTATGATTTTTTTTATTGTATTTTCATAATGTGAAAGCAAGCAAAATTCATAGTTGCGTGAATAATAAGAAAGTATGTTCAATTTGTAATCAGTCAAAAACTATTTTATGACAATATCAAGAAATCAGTATTTTTACAATATTTCAAAATATTTATAAGCACATCCGGGCACATTGAACTCGTGTTGAGCTTTTAACATCGATAGCTGTCCGTCCGTCCGGCCGACCATCCGTCATAGATAATTTGAAGAAAAGATGTGTTCTCTCTTTCCACTGGGCAACAGCTATTGCAACATAACTACCGTAACAATACTTTCCCTTCAATTTTGTGTTCAACTTTGTTCCATTGCAATTCTAGGTCATTTCTAACACAGCAATCTTTGAAAGTTATCTGCTCACTATCCGTACGTAATACCAAGAGCTCAAATAGTCGTTGTGTGCCTAGTTTGTTCCAATCATCACTTTGGAGATAAGAACTGTCTATTTAACTTCTAGTTTGTTTGCCTTAATTTAATAAATTTCAGTTGAGCGATGCAGATCCTTTTGTATTTTAAGGCATTAGCAGAACAACATAATGAAAACACTGCAGTTTATCTGAAACTATATGACACGGTATCAAAACGGTTTCTGACGGAATGGAACGGAAAACTAAACGACAATAAAAGCATGAATCTGGAAACAATAGTGACATGGACAGCTCTGCCCAAGTTGATTAAAGTACTTTGTAAGTAGTGTGAAATTTCTTCGCCATTCAATCACATTTCGTTTCAAACACATATTTCTGTTAACTTTGTTTGTTTTTGGATTTTACGTCACATCGACACAGTATAGGTCATATCGCGACGTTCCATCTTCACTGGTGGAGGAAGACCCCAGGTGCCCTTCCTTGCATTATTTCAGGCACGAACGGGCACTTGAGTAGAACCACCGACGTTCCGTAAGCTAGCTGGATAGCTTCCTCACATGAAAGAATCCAAAGTCCCAGTCGGGATTCGAAACCACAGCGGTGAGGGGCAAGTGGTTTGAAGTCAACGGCCTTAACCACTCGGCCACGGACGCCCTTCTGTTTACTTTTCAAAATAAGTTTAGCAACCTGAAATGTAACTGATATAGTAATGGATGCCGTCAAAATTTTTCTTTAAAGGATAGCAGACAGCACCAATAAAAGAGTTACTACAAGTTAAAGCTTTATTTCACTTTAACGTGTCGTTTACTGTTTAAATTGTGCTTGATACAGTAAGGAATTATGTCCTGGTTTCCCTTAATAGAATGTCAAACAACATTCATGAAGGAAATTTAAGTAGGTTTGTACTTAAACTAAACCCTTCTTTATAAAGCAATTTCCAATAAAATATTCTTCTTAATAAGGATTCTCTTGATGACATATAAAGTATCTTGTTTCTTTTCAATATGGGAACATTTAAATGATTTTATAGATGTATGGTAATATTATCTGGCATCAACCAAAAATTGCTGTTGATATGTATGCATCTATATAACTTTAACTTTGAAAAGAAATGATTATATTAAATATGTAAAGTTCCTTTTTATTCGTTTATTATATATGAATATGCACATAACGTTTATTTACTCAAATTAAATATACAACTTTTCATCTAAAATGTAATATTGACCAAGATGCACAGACACAAAAGAAAATTATACTACACACTTCTGGTATACCTTGATTAATATCATTGTGATTATGCCTCTGTTGCTTTGTTTAATGATTTGACTCACGCTTTTTAAAAATCAGTTACAGGTTACAAAACATAAATCGGTTAGGTTTGTTCTAGAGCTAGATCCAAGGTCAAATAATACTAGAAAACGTTATGATCAGTTTTTAAGAGGTTTTGGATGGTTATCAGTTACTAATAGGGTTGACAAAATTACTATTCATCTTGTATTTCAAATCATATCTAGGTAACCGTTTACTTCAGTGAGTAATGTTCATAAATAACTCACTAGATTCACGTTTAAAGTTTGTCCCTCAATTGATGGTAAGAGAAAAACATGTGTACATAGCAAAATATTTACTGTTCCTGTTGATCTGGTCGAAAGACTTCAGCACTCTTAAGTGTTGAGAATTCAGTATCGCTCAAAGCGGCGGTAAGAGACATGAGGGATGCTGCACGTTTTCAATATCCCTCTTGCTTAATCAAACCGAGTTTGCAATTTTCATGTTATTTTTCTGTACTAAATGTCTCCGAGGGATTACTTTTTCCAGATATTTAAGGTACAATGGTTGTTGTTTTTTTAACTCTCTACAAAAGAACATAAGGGATACCCATTCCATTTCCGCATAGAGTTAAGAAGCGTCTCCTTAGTGTTTTTTTTTTTGTATTATTTTTGTTTGTCTTTTTAACTGCCTTATACATGGTCATTTGTTGTTGACTTCAAACCACTTGCCCCTCAACGCTGTGGGTTCGAATCCCGACAGGGACTTTGGATTCTTTCATGTGAAGAAGCTATCCAGCTAGCTTACGGAACGTCGATGGTTCTACTCAGGTGCACGTTCGTGCCTGAAATAATGCACGGAAGGGCACCTGAGGTCTTCCTCCACCAGTAAAGCTGGAACGTCGCGATATGACCTATACTGTGTCGATGTGACGTAAAACCCAAAAACAAACAAACAAACATGGTCATTTGCATTTATCTTGTTTAGTTTTTAAGTTAATTACGTTCTTAAAATTTATTCTTATGGAATACTTTTAAGTTTTTATATTTTTTGCTGTAATTCAACATTAAAATTGTCTATTTTGTTTGTTATATAAAATAGACTGTGGTAATGATGTTAATTTCATTGTGCTGACTATATAGAAACTTCTTATACTCAGTGTATACCTTTTTGTGAATTCAACAACATCTGTAATTTTTCTCTTTTTCTGAATTATCATTTATTACTTATTCGTTGTTTAATTATTTTACCTGTGATACATTAATATTATTCATAACTTATAATCTTCCTATGTCAAACAATGCTACCTTTAAAGGAAATTAGAGTCATGGGGACTCATTTGTTCATTCATAAATGTTTTTCTATAGATTTGTGTAAGTTTAAATTTGTCATTGCCATGTAGATGTACATTTTCTGTTGAAAAAATCCATCTTTCAAATCTATTTATCTCAATTCAAAACAGTTATTAAATTCCCCCTAAACCTTTTGTCTATATTTACATTGATATTTCCAAAAGATGATTGCAACGTGGGTGAAACCGTCTTTGAAAATAAGTTAACATCTACAAGGAGAATACCTGACATGACATCTATATTTAGTGTTGAGGCAGTGTCATACTTTTTCAAATTAACTCCCTGTGTTAAAATTAATTAAAAACCAAAATTCTGATATTGTTATAATAAAGAAACTCTTGTTGCGATTTTGTTAAAAAAAAAACAAATCAGTGAAATTATATTACATTTCTAGCCAACTAGAAACACAGAGAAATGAAAAAGTAGATGTTTTGGCTAAAAACATCTTTAAATACTCAATAATTATTGTTATTATTATCAGAAATGATTATAAACATTCCATAAATAAACTTATATTATCCGAATAGAAATCAGGACAAAGCTGTATTTAACATAAAAACCCCTGTTTTGATGTGTCGCCATCCCTAATCCCTGTAAACCGTCATGATCAGTGATTCCTCTCAGATGTCGAATAGGACACACTAAATTTACAATTTTTAATTTTTAAAGAGGCGATAATGCTCATTTTTGTACAGGTTTTGTGCATAATTCACCGTCACTTATTTCATATTGAATATCATGATATTGCACATGTAAGTGATAGATATTACCGGATGAATTAACTTTCAGAACTTTTTGATTCAGTGCCTTCCAAAACATTGATCGAGTACTTAAAATAAATCATCCTTCATTTAGATATATTAAGCCGAAACGTTTGACATGTATATAAAAGGGAAATGTTAGACTGTTTAGTTGACTACTTAGTTAGGTTTAAATAATCGTATGTAATCAATATAAGTGTTTGGGTCAGTCAGTATGGCCAATGTGCCGTATAAACCTAAACAAACAAACAAGCAAACAATTAAACAAACAAACATTAAAAGGGAATCCCTACTTGTTTGAATGCAAAGAAAGTATCCTTAAAATGATTATAGAAATACATCGGAAAAAACTGGTATATGGTATGTTCACTTTAATATAATTTCAGAATATGGTTAAAGCATGACTACAATGTGGAGAATAACTTGAATTGAATAATATATACTTTTTGTTAATACTGTACATTATAAAAAAAAACTTTTGAATTGAACGAAGCTTTATTTGTTTTATGAATCACATCTGATAAACTGGTTTCATACTTGAAAAGCAGCGTACGTCACTTACAAAATACAGGAACTTAAAGATATAAAACTTGTTTAGGCGTTTATTTGCTTTTAGGCCATGAGAGCACATCAAATGATCAGAATAAGGAATGCCAGGAAATCATAAACTTGGTAAAAGCTTTGGTGGAGGACTTTGTTTGTGTGATACTAGATGGGAAAATATGCGTCAAACTTCTGCAGCTCATGGAGAATCAGAAGGATGTATTGTTTCCACTTTGTGATGTTCTGAAATTTAACACTGAACTAATCAGAGTTGCACTTTTAAAAAGGAGAGAAGAGTTGAATGTTTTCTACAGAACAAGGGCGACACTCGAAGCTCTTAAATTATTCTGTGATGGCGTTGATGAAGGTATAAGAAAATATAGAAATACTCATTTATGTAAAAATAATGTATAGTAAGTGTCGAATTTGATGTGGCATTACATGATTAGATGATTTTTGAAACTGAAAACTGATTAAAAATGTTGTTTAGACTTTTTTATGAATTTAGGGAAATTGTTAGTTTGTTATTTTGATTTGTTTAACATTTATCATCCGTATTTATCCAGACCTTATTGCGTTAGAAAACAATAATTGACTCAAATTCTATTTTAGTGCAAGTCGACATGGAAGATGTTGAAGATCTTCTTCAGAAAAATGTTGAAGAAAGCGCTTTGAACGAATTAGTGATAGTGCAAAAGCTGACAGAAAAGTCAGAAGAAATGACACACATTATTCAAATCAATGCCAAAAGCTTAAACGAAGATGTAATAAATATGATAACTTGTCTTGAGGAATTGAAGAAGAGTGGTTGTTTCACTGCGGAATGGAAGCGTGTGATTCTGGATTTAAAAATACATACTTCCCTCAGCCTCAATGATCTATATGAACATGTGTATTTACCGTCGATTGAGAGGTATTTTCCTTATTAAACTTACGTGCAAAAGTATTTTTTAAGCATATTGTTTTACAATAATATGGAATGTAATCTTAATGTTAGTTAATTTTATTTGCCTTATTATAATAAGATTTATTTTTTATTAGAAAAAATATCTTTTATTCACAATAGTATATTTGCATTCCAGACATGATAACGAGACTGTCACATAGATATTTGTAACAAATCATGTTCTTTTAAATATCATTGGTTAAACAATTTAATTCATTACATTTTTAAACAAAATTAAAATAAAAAGGACTTACAAAATAAATTTCTTTCAGTTTGAAAGAAAAGGCGAAACAAATTTCATCGGGTGAAATAGCCTACGTTGACATGGAAGACTTTGTCGGAAGAATTTGCGGGTTGAATTACGACACAATTTTGTTTGAGCTTAAAACTGTTTGTCCGGATATATCTCCAAAAGTTCTGAGTGAACGCGTTGAACAGTTTAAACAATGTAGACAGATCAGATTAGCTACTCAAGTGGCATCAGCCTTTTTTAAAGTCAAAGACGTCTATGGACTTTCTGGAAACTTTAGTGCTGTCGATCATTTGAAAAACGTAAGCATTACATCTTTTTTAGGACATCACCATGATAATAATTTCTCATAGATAACCAAACCTTTTATATTTTAAGCAATGGTTTAAATTCAGTGGTAATTTTTAATTATTGATAATTAGGAGACCTGTTAGTTATATGTACTTTTTTTGAAGTTTGCATAAAGTTCTTGCGTCGTTCAAACTATAAATTGTTAATGTAAATGTATTTGATGAAGATACTTAAAATGGGTTTTGCTATACATGTGAAAATATGTTTTTAGTACGACATCACAACTTTAACTCTGAGTTCAAAAAAAGAAGACATACTGATAAGCAGTCGAGATTTAAATCATGTAACAAAAGAGGGGGCGGCATGTGTAGAAGCTTTTGCAAATTGTGCTGATCTTATATCATGGCTACGTGACATTATTAAAGGTAAAACAAAATCAGCATGTTATCTTATAAACTTTTGTATGAAATTGAAAAATACTTCTACTTGATTTTACCTACTGATTTTTTTGCATCATTTGAGAATGAACATGCCTTTTCGCTGTGTCCTCATGTTGAGTTTTGTTTTAGGTGCATTTTATGAGAATTTGTTCAGGTAAATCTCGAGTATTTGATATGTGTTTCTGATCTACATTATCTGAAAACGTACAGATAAAATTAATAATCAGAACAACTCAAAATAACATATAATTATAAATTAAATAACTAAAAGTTTATTTCCTTTCTTTTTTATGTATATTCCAAAATTTAGGTGGCATAAAAGAGGTGAACGTGTTTGTAGACTTGGGAATGACATCTGCTGGGGATGACATCGAGAAAATTAGCAGAGTTCAAAGCCTGCATGTTGCAGTAAATGGATATGCAACTCTCATTTTTGAACTGGAAGAAACAAGTGGTTTTAAAGAAGTACTCAAAGCATGTGATTCTGTTTTTGGGGAGTTACAAAACACACCAAAATTACCGGAAAAGCTTGTAAGAAATATATATAAATATCGAGATCTTTTTATTTCAAAAAATGTTATTTTATTGGTGACACTTTCATATTACACATAGTTCGTTTCTGTATGTGACTTTGCTTTCATATGATTTTTAATTCGTTATTAAACTGATGCTTATTTTTAAGGAATATGCGCAACGTTATCTCCACTGGTTCAAGGAAATAAAACAAGCACATGGTTCAGTGGAAGTAACGTCGTTTATGCAAGCAGAGAATATAAATGAATGTGGCATTTATCAGATTGGTACAAAAGTTTGGAAGACATTTGGAGGACAGGGCAGTCAATTTTCACTTGCAGAGTTTTCGGTAAATTGCATATTTAAAAACCCACAAAAGTCAAAAACATTTAATTAAACAATCACATCTTCTCGACCTTTTCAACTTAACTTCGGATAATGACCTCGAACACATTGATTTAGATATACTAAAAGGATACGGTATTTCGGTATTTCTCCAGATTTGTTTCCCTTCACACGTAAACCAAAAGTATGTAAATGTTGGAATTTCTTTGGTAAGATTATATTCATTTTATGTGTACCAGTCCACCCAAGGTTAGTGAGTTCATAGATATAAAAATAAAAAAGTATATTATCTTTAAACCAACTTCTTTATTTTAGCAACCAAAAGAACAAACTGTTACAGTATATCTTTTGACGATATCCCGAATTTGGTTCATTACTAGTTGACGTTTGACATCTCTTTCTCGTCCTTTTTTATTTATATTACCTGTGATATATTTATGAACAGTGAAATATACTTATTTATAAACTATCTAACTAGTATTTAATTTCAGGATATCAACAAAGTCTTAAAACTAACATTAAGTATAGAAGGAAATGAAGGAAGCAACCCTGAATACACATATGACAAACTACAAGATCTTCAAAGTAGATTAATGTTAGTTGCAGGTGAAGCAGAAAAGAGCAAGATAAGCGTAGAGCGCTTTAACCAGGTAGTATTTGTTTATAACTACTTTTACGGATATTTTATGATTTAAAGCATACTGTACACTAATGATTGTATCAATGATCATTTAAACGTGCCTTAATCAATTTTATCTGATATAGATTTTAACGACATCATAGTTATATACACATAAACAGATTCAGAACAATTTTCGTTTCTTTGAATTATATAAATAAAATTTAATGGTTCATGCATTGTTTAGCATGCTAAACAGCTAATAATTTTTGTTTGTTTGTAGATCTTGGAGGGTGTCGTCAGACTATGTAACATTTACATCAAACTTGTCAAGTCAGGGTGTATGTTTTTCCAAAATTTTGCAATTGAACTTGTATGTGATACAAATCCAAACCGACCAATTGCTGCTAGCCTGTATCTCGCAAACCAAGAATCGATTCTACAGGTATGTGTGACAATAATTATCATGTCAAAAGTAAACAAAATGATGCAATTTATCAAGCAATTAAATTTGCTACTGAAGGAAAAGGGGAAAAACATAATCCCGGACGAAAGCACAAAACGACACATTAAAAATGTTGCAATTTAGTTTCCTCGAGTCTGTTCATGGACAGTGCAAACAACCGTCCACGCCCAAACACCGGTAAATTAGAAGTCACATTTTAACAAAGCGTAAGTTATTACTTAAGGTGAATCACCAGCACAAGCCTTAATTTTTTTGAAAAATAAGTGGTCTAAAGGAAAATTTGAACTCGACCTAGATTTTATTATGTAACATCTGTGTTCTAATGATTATTTCAATGATTGCCTATCTTCAAGAAACCATTATTTATATTTTAGCAACAGTGTACAAAGGGGTCAAACATAAGCTTGCTATACGCCGAGTTTTATGAGAATATCCCATTCCTTACTCTAGTTATCCTCCAAAAACCGTATTTCTGCTTTAAGAAACAGTGACATCAACTTTGACCTAAGAAGGTCTAAAAACAATTCCAAGCAAGGTATCCACATAGGCTTGTCATATACCTAGTTTGATTACAATATCTCATTGCCTACTCAAGTTATCATTCGCAAACATTTTTATATTTTAATCACTGTGATTTTGACCTTGATCCCAGGTTCAAATGCAATCTTAAATGGGCTTTAATTAGCCATTAAAGCGAACTATATATGCAAAGTTTTATGACAATAACTCATTTAATTTCCTTACTCTTATTATTGTCGAAAATCCAGTTCTAGGCCCGATATACTTCTAGCCACATTAACATACAATACGTCGATACCGATATATTATTGAAGATTACTGACCGATATACACACGGTTTAACATAGATTAAGTAGCATAATTGGGTCCCAAGGCAGTTGACTGATGACCAGAAACGGACCAGGCTGGACATTATAAGGTATCTATTGTCTCGCTACGAGGATGAACCTGATTTCATCTACCGGATCGTAACTCAGGATGAAACCTGGATCCATCACTTCGATCTAGAATTAAAAAAAACAGAACATGCAATGGAAGCACATTTGCTAACCCTATCTGAACAAATTCAAAAGGGTGTCATCAGCAGGGAAGATGATGGCTTCAATTTTCTGTGATAGTCACGGGATATTCATTATTTACTATCTGCAGCAAGGTCGTTCCATGAACCCTACGTACGATTAAGACAAATTGAGACGTCTGCATTAAGAAACTGCGCATTAACGAGGGGGCAAACTGACTCAAGGCGTTCTGCTCCTGCACGACAATGTGCCAGGTCACACATCCAAAGTTGCGATGACTGCTGCAACTGACTGCAGCTTTGGAATTCTTCCCAATTCCCAATATTCTCCGAACTTGGCCCCATCTGACTTCTACCTGTTTCCGAAACTGAAAACCAAGCTTCGTGGTAGACGTTTTGGAAGCAATGAAGGTGTCATGGAGGCGTCAAAGAGTTCTTTGAGGACCAAAATAGAGAGTTCTATATTGATGGGTTAAGCAACTTTGACCACGGGTGGGCATAATGCATTGATATAGAGGGCGATTTTCATGAAAAGTAAGAGCATTAGTTTGGTCCTCTTACTACCGGATGAACATTGGGCCAGGAACATGTTGATCAATCCTCGTAGATACCAATTTTAGTTATAGTATTTCATTCCAAACCCTTTTTATACGGTAACCATTTTGCTGTTTTGAGAAACAGTGACCCTGAAGTCCAAAAGTAAAACCAACCAGTCTGATAACTAAATGCCATACGTAACTCTAGTTATTGTCCTGAGATGTTTTTCCTTTTTTTTCACTAACAATGACCTTGACCCCAGGAGGTCCAAAGCAATACCAACCTAGGTTTCCATATACTGTTGCTATATACAAACTTTGATTAAAGTAACTCATTATTAACTCATGTTATTGTCCGGACATATTTTCTATTGTTGTTAAGGTAACCTTGACCCGAAGGATTCCAAAAGCAATCCAAGCCGTGGTTTCCATATAAGGTTTTAATATACCAAGTTCTATAACAACAACATGTCTGGCCCTACTTATTGTCCGGATACTTTTTTCTACTTTAAGTAAACTGAAAAAGTCAAGTACATTACTCTTGTTAAACAAGCAATTATCATAGAATTGCAAGCAATCCATAAAACCCCTACCGGTTAGAACACCAGCAACATTCTGATGGGCCATTGGCCATTCAATTTTACCAGTGAATGAATGACATGAATGAACTTAAATCTTTTGAGTTCCAAGTTTGTCTATATTAAAGTAATGTGTTAAGTTTCTCTGCATAGAAAGGACATTATGTTTATACAACAGATAATAAAAGGTTCATTTTTTCAGGATGAATAAGTATAACTAATATTTCATCTTTTCTCTTTTTTAAGTAAATTTGTTGGAAAAAATCTTTAATTTTTTTTAAGTGATCTGAGGAAACAGTTTTTATGAACAGACGGACAGACGGAAGGAGACTCTTATTTTTTAAACATCCCTGCTAACAAAATATAACATATTTTAATGAAAAATTTCTTAAAGAGGTGATTAATTTTGGAAATAAAAACCCTTTTTAAAACTTGTCAAAATTGTGGTTTTACTGTGGGTTTTAAGATACCATTTATAGTCACAAAAAAGATAAGTAAAAATTAACAATTTTCAAATATAGCATCAACTATAATGTATAGTTAGTAACAAAGATAAAAATTATAAAAAAAAATATAATGTAGGTGTTGATAATGAATGTTAATTCTGGAAATATAGATTCTAGATTTATAAACCTTGTCAAAATATTACGATGTTGGATTTTAAAGTAAATCCTGTTAGGAATGAAGAAGTTTTAGTAAAGATTTGGTAAAAAATTTTTTTTTTTAAATATGTGTTGTTTTGGTGTATTTTAACTGAAGTTTTAGTAAAAAATACCAATTTACCAATTTCTCGAAAACAAATCCATCTAAGTCCAAGGGGGACATAATTTTGAAAATAGTCTTGCTAAATATTAAACCTTCTCACAAATGTTAAGTGATAATTAGGAACATATATATGAAGTTTGAAGTATATACATGTACATTAAGAAATAATACATAAAAACATCAAATTTAAGTATGGCAGAAATTGTTGTTTTTTTTTTTTTTTTTTTTTTTTTTTATGATTTTTATTACGATTCCAATTTAATAATCATTTTAAAAAATGCCTTGGATGAAATTCATGTTTTTTGTAACGTTTTTACTTTTTTCAGCTGCTTGAATATTATATACCTATAAGTAATTTTTTTAATGATTCAATCGTTACTGTCCGCAGAAATAAGTTACCAGAGCTGAAAAAACTCCTAAGTGAAATAAAATATCTACCTATAACCAGCTCTTATGTAACACTACACATTAGTATCTGACAACCCCCCCCCTAAAGTGTTTTTAGCTAGTTATATTTCTATCAACTAGGAAGTAACTGTTCACGTTTCTTTTTAAAAAATCAGCATTTTTATATTCTTTTTAACCCTGAACGGAATGGCTGCCGGATAAAAAATAAAATAGATAAAACGTTAAGCAGACATATTGTCCACACCACAATACATATATTGATAAAGATTAATACAAATCGTTCTCAGCTGGCTTTCTTACCATTTAACTTTTTACGTCTGATCAATAAAGTAACAAGGAAGCATAAAATGTGCACGTGCTTTAAATAATATTCCTCGTAAACCACACTTTAGTTAACTTAATATAATTTTAGTCTTGACTCCTGGATGAATCTCTACAAAATTTGGCAACGTCTTACAAGCACTTTCATTGACAGAGGTTAAAGACGATTTGTCTGATAACTAACTACATGCCGACTTAAATGAAGTTTATTGATTAAAGTGGTAGTTTTAGTTATTCTTATTATGACTCTAGAAGTCTCTAGAACTGCTATGCAAATATTCATTAACCTAAATTAAGTTAATAATTGCAAATTAAAACTTTGTTTTCAAGTAAGCAATTAAGTGATCATGGACATCCTGCTTTTTACAGTGTCGCAAAACTGAAAATGAACAATTGGAAAATATAATGCACAGAATTTCAACTACTATGGAATCATGCTTTTCAACGTGGCTAGAATATGTCGACAAACACCGGCAACTCTATCCAGAACTGAACTATTTTACAATAGAACAACTTGTAATACTACAAACCGAGTTCTGTAAGCTTCGTAAAAGCGAAGAACTTTCAAAAATGATATATCCAATGCTTCATGGCATAATACAGAACTGTAAACCAGGTATGAACATCCTGATCAAATATTTAGTGTAAACATTACAAATAACGATTACATTACCTGTGTGGTTTGTAGATATCACACGACTGAAACAAAATATAGGTACAATGCATTTGTGATAAGACTCATTTATTTGAAGGCATCGTGTTTTCATTTTGTTGTTCACAAGGTATAGAGGAATAAATTTGCATAAAAATAAGACCATAGGCATCTGCGTGCTTCATTGTTTAATGTTTATAGTTTTAGAATGTACATTTTTACATTTTTGTAAAATTGTGACAAAAAAATATTTGTGATATGCAATTATGCTTAATGAATGTTATAATATAACCGTTTTAGCATTCTTCTTTATATTTATCTCCTTACATATAAAACTTTCTACAACAATAACCTTATTCCACATGACAGTACATATCAAAAGATGTGAGGGAGAACAAAACATTGCCATATAATAGTTTGAGAAAAAATCAGAAAGATGGAATATAAGATTTAATTTTGAATAAAAAAACATGTCAGTTTATAAGAAATACAAATAAGATTAGTGTGTTTTTTTTCTCAAATTCAAATTTTATTACATTTCTTTCATCATGCAGGTGATATTAAAGATGCTTTCTTAAGTTCTACATCAGAAATCAATGGAGATAATGACAAAACAACAACAACCATTAAAAACGAGAACGTGGGAGAAATCTCCGCGGAAGAAAAGTTCATGCGCGATTTGATTGATCAAGGTTATAAAAGACTGGTTCCATTGGCATTGAAGAATTTTCCTGAATTGAATGTTTCTAATGGTAACATATTTGACATGAATATTTTATTTCATAAAAATGTTACTTTAAATGCTACATGTTGCATCGTCCCAACATCAAAACATGCCAGTGTTGTATCATTCTAACGTAGAAGTAACAATTATCATATTTATTGAAAAAGTGTTGTGATTCTTTGCTTGAGTCAAAAGAAATTATGAAAACAAAATGCATGATTGTTTTTCTTTCATCTTAGCATTGATTTGGTGTATGGAAAATGAAGATAACATTGATGAATTGGAGGAAACTGAATCGTTAGAAACGACCGAATATGATACTGAAGAATCTCGAAACCTTGAAGGAAATGGAACCGATTCGCAAAATCTTACATCGATGGTTGACGACATGGACAGGTTTTATATACAGATTCTATCCTTCTCTGTTTTGCATTTTTTTCCGAGAGCAAAAAGTTATAAATAAAAGGATCAGATAGCATGCAAACTTATATCTTGTTCTAAAAGGTTAATGAATGAAACAACTGTATGCTAATGCATTAATTTACCAAGATATATCATCTACTTGAGGATTATGAATGTTTTAGAATCATTTGAGTCGCCATGAAAAACTATAAGGCATATTGTACACTGTATATTGTATGACATCTATATCGGTTCCATTCAAGAAATCAACCATCAAGAATTTAGTGTTCAAATTTTGTTATGTAAAACTAACAACACTGACACATCTTTTCAGCCAGTTTGACAGATGTGAAAATATGCTGATAAAATTCGAAGAGATATGGAAACAGTTTCTAGAATCCATTGAGAATAATTCCAATAATTTCATCAGCTTAAAGCAAGTCGGAATATTACTTCGTCATCTTGCAGAGAAAGGTATTTCTATTATGTTTTATATCGTTACAAAGGTACAGTACGTCATACTTATACTTAAAGAAATTTCAAAATGATTCAAATGTGATAAATATTACATTCAATCACGTTTTTCTTAGTTTCAAGGTATAAGTCATTTTCTTGCCAAAATAGTGTTTTGTTTAGGAATTATAAAAAGTCTTGTAAACTTTCCAGATCAGCGGAAAATTAGCCGATCTTTACCTAGAGGTTGTTCGGAAATATCACCTAATCTTGTTGTATGCAAAAAAGGTAGGACGGCTTTTAGATGATCTTAATAATTAAGACATATACAATTTCGTTTGATACACTCCATTGCAAGAACACTTTTTAAAAAGCAATGAAATGGATGGATGCTTTGTTGATTTGATTATATGAATAATATGTGAAGATTATTTATTAGTTGAAATGCATAGAAATATTGACCAAATTAATAAAATGTACAAGGAAATTTGCAGTTTGATTCATTTTGCAGTGTTAACAACATATACAAGTTTCAAAGGTTGATATTATTTGATAATGTTGATTAAACGTTAATAGAACTATTAGGCACGTTATCACAAATAATGGTTTAAATGTGGCGTGAAAGAGCATTGGGGCATAACATTATCTCTTAGTAAACGTGTTTCCTAGATTCAATAAAACCGTATCTACAAGTGTAAACTATTTGCTCCCGAAGGCTCTAAATTCAACACTGATAGAAAGTCATTTGAATAGAAATACATGTTATTGTTGCTTCTAAAATGATATAAATGTTCTAAAAGATATTACAATTTTGCAGAAAATATATGGTCTCAAACATTATCTCTTTACCTCTGTGATACAACACAACCACTACCATTGCATGATGAAATTTTGACATGTTCAGAAGACACATCAATTGAACAGGTATTAAATCAAATTAATACTTTTAGTTTTCCAGCCGCAATAGTATTATAAAAATTCTCCAGTTTGAATTATAGATTAATTATAACTTTAATTCATAAAAAACTTATAAGAACTTACGGGTGAATTTTTATGAAATACAGCAATTCAAACTTATTATTGGATATAGACATCATTTCATTGCATTTGTCAGTAAGGGATTCAAGCAGATTACTTTCATATTGGTATGGAGAAAACGTCGAAACCTGTTAATGGTGTAATGCGGCAAGATCCTTTATCTATTGACAATGTCGGTGGTACGTTTTCAATTTTTCACAAAAGTGCTTCACATCATGAAAAATATGAAATTATAGGAACACAACAGCAATCGTCGTCTATTAAAATTAATACTGACAAGGCAATATATCTGAAATCTATGCATGATCTGTTTAATCTAAGGTGGACATTTTTCTGAGACGAGCACTTTTCAACTCATGTGGGAAGATCCACACCATCATTAACGCAGACAAAATGAGTTTTACACTTTGTGAAGGAATTGAACAACGATTAATAAAGTATCAGCGTGATGTTCATTCAGGTATTTTCAATGTCTGATGATTTAACTTGAAAAACAAACCTGTATTTAATGATTTGGTTATACAAGAAGGTTAGGTTTGAAAACAAAATTGACTGCATATTTTCTATTGAATGTCATTTTTTTAATCTCAGTAATGTTGTAAATGATCATATTAAGCGGTCGTACAGCTAAAGTAATGACAAAGGTTTGCAAAGCATCGAGTTCTTGGCTTACATTTTAATGGTTAATGTCGTAGACTTCAAACCATCGCCTTTCACCGTGATGGGTTTAAATCCTTTTTTTCATGTGATGAATCTATTAGCTTACTAAACGTTTGCGCATATAATTAGGGGGTTGGTTTGAGGTTTCACTCCACCAGTACAGTTTTGAAGTCTCTATATGACCTTTAAATGGCCGGTTTGACATGAAGCAAAAACAAACAAAAATGAAAAGAACCATATTCGCTCGATTAGCAAATATGTTAACGTAATCCGTAATACGTCGAGTGTTTGGAGAGCAATACTTAAAATACAATATTAAATTTGACAGATTACCGACTTGTATTTATATGCGGATCAGATAGTGAGAACAGATCTGTCTTGATATCATCTCTTGACAAGTATCGTAGAACAGTTTTCTTGATGGACAAAGGCGAGCTTTCTACATGCCTTCTTCATAAACTTCAAAATACAAGTAGTTCAGACACAATTAATCCTGCTGCAACTGTTGATTTTGAAAAGTAAGTAACAATTGTTTTTTTTTTCAAGTGGGTGGGATTAAAAACTAGTTAAAGCATATGCCTCTGAAATCAATATTTAAAAATGTTTAAAGGTATAACATTTATTAGACATAATAGGTCTTTAAGAGTTTTGAGAGTATCAATTTTGAGCAAACTACATGTAGGTCGTTACCACAAACCGTTCGTAATGAAGTCAACTTGGAATGTTAATCCTTTCAAATAATTCATAAATGTCCAGTACTTATTGTTAAGACTTATGTTCAGATCCACTGTGCGTGTTGTAAAGTCCCGTCGGAGTGGTTGTGGAAAAACATTGTATGTATTAAGAAAAGAAGAAGAACTTGAACAAACAAATCAGACGAATGTAACCCAAAGAGTGTCTTTACCTCTTCATGAAAGAAAAGTGAATTTCAATTATGTGACTTCCAATCTGTTACAACATATTGCGGAACCAGACGAGCTTTGTGCAAAGATTCTTCACATTGATATCACAAACGAGGTAATAATGTTAAATTTATTTTGCAATATTTGTGTATTGTTATTTTTTTACAATTTGAAATGTAGGTATATTAATTGTTACTCAATCAATAAGCCAGCATATTTTGAATCATACTAGTCATTATTTAGCTACATTATTCGTTTGAACTGTGTTAAATAATAAAATTAATAAAACATCACGCATTGTTATACAATTTTTCTTTTGTCAATTTTGATATTTCGTTCTGTTGTTTCTATTTGGACATTTTATTTCTTATTTACAGGTCCAGTTTGGAATAGACTATCTTCTATTTAATCTGCTGATACTCGGGAAACTTGTTGACAAGTCCGGATATGTTTGGCGAAAAATGCCAACAGATTTATATTTGATTGAAACACTAGAACAAAGGGTATCATCTGCGTTAATATTGCTACTGCTTTACGGTTTTCGGCAGGTGTTATGATCTAATTAAAGTTATTGTTGGCATATACTTTACAAATACCGTTTTCATACGCAATATGTCCTGTAAAATTATTGTGTTACGAATAAATAATACAGACAACCCCTTTTTGAAGAAAATGGGACATTACTTCCTAATCACAACATCTGTATTTACAATGTATAGTTTAAATAAATACAATTACAATTATCTATAATAAAGCGATGATGTGGTTCACACATACTATGGGCTTTAAAGAAGACAAAAGTGCATAACTTATTGTAAATAAAATTAACACTGTTTAACTAAATGATATGGTTATTGTGAAGTATAAAAATTCAAGGATGTCTTTGAAATCACAATAATTACGCCAGTGGCCACTATGGCCACAACCTGTTATCATAATGAATACTCCGCTGGCTAAGAACACAAGTGTTTATAATATCTTATTAAGTACATTTACAAAATTAATATGTTTCAGAGCTCGGACAACGAAAATGAAAGCTCAATGTTACAGCTTCTTCCATTCGTTGTATGTAGATCACCTAAAGAGTGTTTAGATATATACAGAGGAAATTACCCGGACGGTATGATTTTGATTTTAAATCTAATGTCTACTATCTAAATATTACAGATTCTCCAACCATTATATATTAAGATGATTGCTTGTTTGACTGCTTAACCTAAACATTTGAGCTTTGTTTCATTTTAACACTGAAATATAAGAAAAGCATATGCGATTATATTTTACTGATTGACTCGAAGTGATGTTTATTTGTTAATTTGATGGTTAAGTATGAACGACAAAGAATGACCTTCACTGCATATAAGTAAAGAGATATAACAATGTTAAAAGCAACAGTTATCTGTTATCATATATGTGTGAATGTTCCAGACAAGTCTCTGGTTAAAATAAATGGTCATATTCACATAGAAAGATCATCATTTTAGAATGTGACCAGAAATATATTTTCAGTTGGTTCTTTATGACAAACATTTATTTAATAACATTTATTGCACTAGATTACAATGAATACGACCAATTGTTTGACCAAAAACTGTACGAAATGGAATTGTACCAAAAACCATACGAGTGTCTGAAAAGCATCGATGATGCAAATGATAAAAACTCAAAACTGCATTGCATTGAAACAATGTTAAGGTAAGATAAATATCATATTGTCTTGAAACTGTTGACATTTTTATATAACTATATTACATGAGACTTTGAAGACAGAAGGACCGTTGACAGATTAGGTGTTTGCGTTTACTTTTGTTGAAATATATAGTGTTAGACAGAATTCTTAAGCTTTGATTATATTGAGTTTTAACTTGATAATAATTAGGGATAAGTTCTAGATCCTACAGAGAGGGTAATAATAATATTTGTTTAACTGAATACCTTTATTGAATATCATAATCATATAATGGTTTCATGTTTGCAAATTAATCTAACAGTTGAGTTTGCTTTAACTTTGTAGACACTGTGGTGTTTCAAACCCGTCGTGGTCAGAAATCCATCACTTCGTAAAATTTTTAAACACCCAGTTACTGGATTTTTGCAACACAGATTTTGTCAGTAAAGCTATCGAAGATACATTGCCAGGTTTTCCTACGTTCGTCAAAAAGTTTCTTATTCAGATGTCAAGGGTCAGTAGCTTAATTGTGCTTGATAATGCTTGGAAACAGATTATAGATAAATGTCATTTTTGTACACTCACTCTGTCAATAATTTCATCTATTTTATGAAATGTTACATATCTTTTTTAATGAAAAATAATTTATGCAGTGAAGTATCTTTTAAGAATAAAATTATTCCTTATATTTTTTAACAAGATGTGTTCCTCTATAAAAGTGAAAGAAATATACGAATAAATTATTATATTTTACTTTATACTTGATAACTAATAACCTTTCATCAAACAGGACTTCTCAAGTCGGTCTCTCAATTTAAGCGAGGAATCTTGTGAAATCAGGGAAAACGAAAACGAACGAAATGATCTACGTGATTATGAGATAAAAAGGACTTGGGAAAGCAGGTTCACTTAAGATTATTTTATATAAGGAAATAACTTATTAGGGTTATGTTTAAAAAATCTGTCAAAATCGTCCTGCTATCATTTTACCCAAAAAAGGCGGGATGCCTAAATTATATAATTTTTCTATAAAATTCTGACAAATATCTCTTTAATTATTTATTTTAATTTAAAGACTGAAGGTATATGTATGTATAAAATCATAGGAAAATATATCACTTTTTTTTAGTCCACATCCATACCTTTTCTTCAATGCTGATAGCCACACATTCACATTTCTTGGATTTTACATCAACGATTTCGGGGATCTTGTTGATATTCACAGTAATAAATCACTTGAAAAACGTATCATGAACAGAACGTTGTTGAGAGCATTGCTCCAAAATGGCGTTCCTATAAAGGAAGATTTTGATTCGTTACAAAGGTAACATTTTCAGTACAGTAAAACAAAGCCTTTAACTTTACAAGAGTTTTGTTCAGGTCGTATATCAATTAGAAATCATGATATGTACATTAATATACATATTAAGGATACTTCAAGATTCTCTTTAAATTCATATTATCTTTTATATTAACTAAAACTTGGAACAATAACTGGTATATCTGCGTTAAACTCTTAACACCTAAATTCAATTGAATAAATAATTTTACTCATTCTGTTTATTGTGTAGGAACAAAGTCATAATTATAATCTTCTTAAATCCTACAATATGTATAAGTACTGAAAACAACCTTAATGAATACCTTTATCGTTAAGGAAAGACAAGATTGAAAGATTATGCGGAGTAATTGGAGTTGACAAATGTGACCCACAGGTATACGATGAAACTTATGAGTTGACGACAGATAACTGTAAGAAAATGCTTGCAGTATACATGCGATTTAAGTAAGTGAACAAATATTCTTTAAAGACTATAACAGATAATAGCACAATTTATAACTAAAATATCTGGGTAAATCATTTCCAAATTGTAAATCACAAACATTACTTAACCATACATATTATTTATCTATCATTAAGTTATAACTTGTACTACTTTTCAATACCGCAAGTACTTTTATTACTGAAGGTGTGGCATACCAGTCATTATAATGGGTGAAACTGGTTGTGGAAAAACAAGATTAGTAACATTTTTGTGTGAAATTATGGTTCCAAGGAACAAGGATACACAAGAACCATTGACGACTAATATGATAATCATGAAGGTATGATTTGTTAAAAGATTTGATCTCATTAATAGCCCGATTAAAACCACAATCACCCGAATCAAAAACCCTATCAAAGAAGTTTCAAAGTATAAATCGTGTAAAATTGATATTGCATCACAGAAACACGAGTGTAACTTGTTTGTTAGTTGCTTTACCGTAAATAATGGAATTTACCATATTGAACAATCTATAAAATACTTAAATTAATTAACTGTACAAAATGTTATACATGTACTTACAAATAGCAAACAAGTAAATGCGAATGACAAATCATACCATTCATGCAGTTTGTTCACTATAAGTTTAGCTTTATATATCATATGAGAATACCAGTTAAGTATTTATAAACACTGTATTTTAAACAAAATATATTTTCAGGATAGAAACAAATTGATACGTTAACACACAATTTACTTCATCCCTTTCTTAAAACTTATCGAAATATGTTTGCAATAACTTTATTGTAAAGATTAAATTCTAATTTTTTGAAACATTGTAATACAAAGTTATATTTGATTCATTAATAATTGAAATGATTTCACATGTAAATATTCTTTGAAAGATACTTTCCCTAAATTTTACTTATTCACACAAAATTTATAAGGTTCACGGCGGTATCACAAACGAGGATATCAAGTCAAAAGTTTGGAATGCTGAAAGAATAGCTGTTGAAAATATTGAAAAACATGGAAAAAATGTATATACAGTATTGTTTTTTGATGAAGCCAACACGACTGAATCAATCGGACTTATCAAGGAAATTATGTGTGATAATACAATGGAAGGGGAGCCTCTCAATATCTGTAAAAACCTGAAATTTGTTGCAGCATGCAATCCTTACCGAAAGTAACTATCTGCCTCATTAAAATAATGCATAAGTAATATAATAGATAAAATACGTTCAACTTGAAAATATATACTTCCTTTATTTTTAGATAATTTAAATATTGTTAATAACTTTAATCTATTTCGTTTTGATCAAAATGACATAAAGTACAACTCACATAAGACGTTTATTCTTAACTTAACTTAGCACTCGTTTTACTTTTTCATTTTCATAAATGTATATTGAATCATATAACAGCTACTTAGCATTTGCTCATATTGGATATTTTTACTGCTCATTTGTCTTTAAAGACACCCAGAAGAAGTGATCACAAAGCTTGAAAAAGCAGGTTTGGGCTACCATGTAAAGGCGATCCAAACAAAGGACAGGTTTGGCCGGATACCAATGAGACGTCTTGTTTATCGTGTTCAACCTTGCCTCAGAGTCCTTTTCCCTTGTTTTGGGGGTTTCGTTTAACGTCAATATCTTTTTAAAAAATTTTCATCCAAAAAGGTTCGGAGATATATTTCAGTGAGGAAATTTTTATTGTAAATTGCATCACATGCATTTTAACCTAAGATTATAATTATGTATTAAAAACCTAAAAATATAGATATTATAATTCTGTCACAGGGTATGCTTTACAATTCTGGATAGGCTAATGAACATATCCGATTTAACTAAGTGTGCAAATTGCATTTTCTACTTTCATTACTGTACATTCCCCTAACGTATGCTACATCTTAAGACTTTTAAACGGTCACAGAAATCATTGATGCAATTAATCTTCTTTAAAATGAAATATCTCTAAACATTTTATGACGTAATGGTGAATGGTAACAATGTAAGACTTAAAACAAACTTTCTTTACTTATAATACTGGCCAAAATCAATGCAAAATTAAAGTCTATAAATAATTATCTCTGTATTACATATACTATATCGCCATTTAAAGTACTTGGATGACTAGAAAAATAACAGATATATACGAAAATGATTCCCGCAAAGTTTGTTATGGCCAATGGGTCGTAATTCACAGAGTTCTGAAGAAAAAAAAAACGAAAACTGTGCCAAGTGATATTATTTGAATAAGCAAAAACATTAATAATAATATTTTCAGATTTAGTACGAAAATTATAAAGAGTAAAAAAAACAAATGCAGGATTTCGCAATTAATTATTTCGAAAATGAACAAAATTGACATTGAGAACAATCTGCATAAAAAATGACCAAAACGAACAAAAACATTGATGTGGACATATAAAAACAAATGCGTTAATTTACATCTTACTTTTTGGCAATTCCAAATCAAGATATCTATTATTTATGTTTTTGCATCTTATTGTAGTAAAGTAATAATAATTTAGTTCTGTTCGTACATTTTTTTATTTATTTAAATGACACAAACAATTATTCGAGCGATATTTTTATTTCATAATTCATGCATAAAAAGACAAAACAAATGTATATGTTTCATGTTTATTTCACAATACGCATGTAAATCGATATAAATGTATGATATGTGGACATTAAAACAGGTTGATAAATTGCAATTGCTTTTATAATTCCGAAATGCGTTCATCGTGAAATAAGCAGATAACAAGTGAAATTTTAAATATAATATAAAAGCTCGACTGTCTAGTTGACAGGGGAGAGATCTTGAAGCTATCAAACGCGAATCTTGAGTAAAATTTGTACATGGCTCGATTAAGGTTATGTTAACTCACAAGAGTAGTTTTTATTTTATCCCACAACACGACATTACATTTATTTCTTTTGGGTTTAACTCTAAATTAAAAAAAGTATTTCGGTTAAATAGCGATAGAGAGGAGTCGCCAATATTTTTTATTAATCGATAGGTGAAAAGTATTTCTTAAACAATGTTTCAGAGAAACGTATACTGCACCAAAGTTACCAACTAATTCAACCGCAAAACCCTTTATGATATCTTCCTCATTTTTCGGAATGGTCAGTTTTTGTTGTAAACATATGAACCGGCCGATATACAAATTAGCAAATTACAATTCCTTCCGAAATATAGCTAGAGGCAACTGATAATGTCCGCCAATATGCAGTGTGTTAAAGAATATTTTTTACATTGAATTTGAGTTTTTTTTTAATTTGTTCACCAGTATTTTCACTTTACCAATTTTTTACGAATGCCATGTTATAATGACGGTGGATTTTTCAAGATACTTGAAATCGACCAGTAAAATATCTGCACATTTTACAAAATCTTAATTTATTAATCAGTATTGTTTTATTTTCTGAAACGCTCATTGGGTTTAAATGTATTATTTCAAAGTTCATTATGATTGAAAAATATTATATAAAATGTCGATATGTTATTTACTGAACCGCATTATGCAGACAACCTATTATATTTTACTGTAAATGTTATTATCACATTACAAATGTATCATTCGTGTCAATGTGCCTTTTTCTAAAAATCTTTAAAACATTTTAAGTCCATATGACAATTACTTTCAGCAAAATGGTACAGTAAGCACCAGTGCACAATTACCAAATGATGAGCAATTGCTTGAAGTAATTAGTTCAATTTTGACCCAGTCACAAGAATACATGCGCAGTTTAAAGGTAGAAAGTAATTCACTATTTGATGATATTATAATTTAGGTAATATATATTAATTTATTATTTTCTGTGGATTATTTTCTGTAAAATACAGCCAAACAAAATTTAATGTTTAGCCTGTTCCGGAACGGGGATCAGATCGCCTTTGTTGATTTTGTATTCATATTAAAAACAAAAACTTAAAAACATACTTCATATTTTGATCTGTTCATGTTCTACTTGTTGAAGCACTCAGTCTTTGTATATTTTATTAATCAAGAACGAGTGCAGTTTTGTGTCACTTCGAGATGCCGATAGAGTTCTGCAAGTAATGTGTTGGTTTTACAGTATGAGTAAGGGTCGGCGAACATTATTTCAGCTTGCTGATGGAAAGTTGAGGGAAAGGAATCAAGATCAGGTATCTAACATTTTTATAAAAAATAATGAATATTTATGTTTGTTGTATCTATAACAAGATACTTTATTGAAACTAATTTTTGAAATGACGCAACATGTGCATATTTGCTTTGGTTCAATAAGACATATTTTAATTTTTTTTAGACGTGTCGTCACTTTCATTCTGGCTCACGAATTTTTATCTGAAGCATAGAATTATAAAAGAAAATATTTTCTGTTTCAAGAAATTGACTGACGTAACGAGGTCGCTGTTGCTTGCACTTGCTGTTTGCTACCATTCCTCACTTAGCCAAAGGAACAATTATTGGAAATATATATCACAGTTTTTCCGTATGCCATGTGAGGTTTACGGTGGATATTTAGATATACTGGAAGAGATTGATCGGTAATAGTCTCAATTATTTCCCTTAACAAATTTCACAAAGCAATTGCCAATGTTTTTCCTTGTTGTGTATCAATGAAACTGTACTTTTAAAATGCAAAAAGGAACCACATCTGTTGTCTTCTTATCTTTTTGCGTGAGTTTTACGAATTTCTGTCAAAAACGTAATTGCACTGCATAAACTCGGATAAAAAACTACTGTTTACTACCTAATATAAAAACAATCAAAATGTTAAGACTTAATGAAAATTTCAGTGTACAAGAAGTTTTTCTGGACTCTGTCAACCTGGAGGATAACAGTAACATTGCACGAAACCATGCTTTAAAAGAAAACGTTTTCATGATGGTTGTCTGTATTGAACTCCGAATACCACTGTTTCTTGTTGGAAAACCAGGAAGCTCAAAATCTCTAGCAAAGGTTATCGTAACGGATGCAATGCAAGGGCGGGCAGCTTCAAAGCCTTTGTTCAAAGAGTTGAAACAAGTAAAAACTTCACTATATATTTTGTTTTTAAGCAAATGATCCGATATAAGGTTAGATAACTAAATAAGTTGCAGACAAATAAATAAAATCATACAATTAGAGACATTGAGCTCAAGATATAATTGCTGTATTTTGTTTTTAAATTCGGCAAAAATTTATTTCAAAAATGTCATACAGATCGATGTTGATGCTTATAATTCCTAATGTTCAAGACAAATTGTGCTGTTTTAGGTCCAAATGGTTTCATTCCAATGTAGTCCATTGTCGTCGCCAGAAGGCATTATATCTACATTTCGTCAATGTGCAAGTTTTCAGCAGAACTACAAAGATAATTTAGATACTTTTGTATCAGTTGTCGTTCTGGATGAAATTGGTTTGGCAGAAGACAGCGAAAGGATGCCCTTGAAAGTCAGACATAATTTTAGAATAAGCAAAAATTAAAATATTAAACATTTTTTATTTCAAAATATTAATTAAGTACAATATTTTCATTACCATAAGTGTGCTATAAATGGTTGTTAAATAACGATATCCAACAAATTTGATTAATTTATCTTACTATCCTGCAACACCAATTTATTTACTAATTGTACTTTTTTGGTAGACGCTACATCCACTTTTAGAGGACGGTTGTCAGGGAGACGAAATTGTTGAACAGTACAAGAAGGTGAGTACTAACAAATTATTTTTTGAAACATATCATTTTCACGGAACTTGTCATTTTGCATCCGGTTTGTTTAACTTTATTATTTTGAAATGAATGAGTAAAATACAATTTGTATTTGATTAGCAAGGCAACTGTCTAGGGTTAACATAATAACAAAAAATTATACAAATGTTTTTTTTTATAATCAATAACATAATTAATAAAAAATATTCTTTTGACTCTATAATCAATGATTATGGTTTCAAAATACATGTTGTAATTATAGCTAATTGATACAGAAATAATGACATTTTCAATTTGTCTTATGAAACATTCTTTACTATACAGTGATTTCCATTTATACCTTAACATCCCTTGGAAAAAATCATTTTGGTTAATAAGCTAAGTATCTATCCATTTCTGATTTTTGTATCCGTTAAGCATAAACAAATGATACTTTAATTTAAGTATTAGAAATTTAATGAAAATAAGAAATATCAAAATTTATACGTAATCATTTATATTTTTAAAGGAAATCGAAATTAATTAAAAATCATACACTTAGATTTTGACTGTGTTTTTTTTTCTTTTAGTAATATAAGTTCATACTTTTGCCTCTGACCTAGTGCAACAATAATTTGTATTCTAAGAATCACAAATATGTATTTTAAGACCTTGCATACTTCTCAGAATTGACTTGTTTTCCTTGTTAAGGTTGTGGTCTGGTATCTTTTGATATATTATAATGGATTTCTTTTAATATTTGTTAATGCAAATGCTTAAATTGACCTAAAATAATTAATTTCATATACTGTTTACGGTCACTTCTTTTTTCTTGTTTTTTCTCAGAAATGTATAAAATCTTTATTTATCGTCAGAGAAGCAATTTTAAAGTGACGTAAAAGTGTTAATTGATAACGCCCTACATTTGTTCTGTTTTTATTAAATATTAGAAAACTTGAATAATTTAATGTTAGACTTATTTAATCCTTAAACTATACTTTCTGTCTAAAGGTGGCCTTTATAGGTATATCAAACTGGAGTCTAGATCCAGCAAAAATGAATCGTGGTGTATTTGTACAAAGACAAGTTCCTGAATTATTAGAGCTTGAAAATACAGCAAGGTTTCAATTTTGAATTTTATAATTCCAGACAAAAAATTTGACACCTTTTTAAAGCTAAGATAGACAAACTATGAAAATTACCTGTAACATTTGCACAAAGAATTCGCATTTCACTTAAAAATGCATATATTCATATCATTAATATTTTTCTTAAGAATGTGATAATTGATATGGTTAAAGGTAATTTGTAATCAACAGACAGATTGGATAAACTCTTAGACATCTTTTTATATAGTAAATATTTTGTACATTACTTTATAAGTTCAAATGAGATTCCCGAAAATAATACATTTAAATGTCAACCATTTAGGGGACTTTGTGCATCTACGACACATTTGAATAATTTGCTTATCAAACCACTTTCATCTGGATATTTGGAAGTCTTTGAAAAAGCATCCGAGGAGAAAAGGGAATTTTTTGGCCTCAGAGATTTTTACAGGTAAGTTTAAGCTTCGAAAGTTACATATACTATCAAATGTAATGTTATGTAATACGAGGGTTGTTCAAAAAGTAATAGGACTAAGAGTCTTGCATCTTCATATTCAATTTAATTTAGAATATTTTTATATGTACAGCGATCGAAAAATGTTTTCTTCAATTCAAGCATAAATTTTTTGAATTCTTGTGCTTAACGTTTGTTCCCTGTGTTATTGAATAACCATGGTAACACGCACCCGGCGCAACACATAACAAAGTTATTGAAGCTTACTTGTACTTTTATTTTATTAATAATTTATTGTCTTTTTTGTCTATTTATTCCACCAAATCAATCTTTCATATTTAATTGACATTATGCCCAAATTTGACGTTATTCAGACATGAAATGGCTAAATCGTCAAGTTTTGAACAGCAGTGGTCAAAACGTTCAATGTAGAAATTTGACGTTCGTTAAATAACTGAAAATGTGTGCAATCGTTTAACTTTGCCAACAAATTGGCGATACTCCTTCAGATACATACGAAAACATAAAATTAACACATTACAATTAATCGGCTATCAGGATACTCGTTCCCAGCTTGCGTAAGCATTCGAAAACGGCACATACGAGATCACAAACAGAAAGGATGAGAATGATAGCGGGAAATTCACGGAACGTTAGTGACGTCAAATGAAAAAGCGCTACAAAATGATCGAGGGTAAACAGTCCACGAACTGTCCTGCATGTTTGATTTCTGCATTGGGTCTATTGATTCAGTTCTGCCTAAATGATTTGTTTCAAACAAAATTCTATCTCATTTAACCAGATATACATGTTATAAATAAGTAATATAATAATGATTAACGGTAATTATTAATATTTCTCCCCGATTTTCTTTTTAAAATGACACGCTGTTCCTAGTAGGAAAATATACTTTTCAGTTGATAAATATTGTTATTTCACTTATATCACATTGTTTTAAGAACGTACGATGATATGTGTAAATTAATTATATAAATCGCTTTTTCATTAACATCATAAGTTCATGTTTGTTTGATTTATGTGGATTACTATAAGAATATAAGAATACGAGAAAAAGCGGAGAGTGGCCGGCTATCGAGTTTTTTTGTTTTTTTTCGGAGAGTGGAACGAGAATGTGATTGTTATCTTTCTAGCTTCATCTCCACATATGAGGCCTGGTCGAAGTTATATGATTTAGACACCTAGAACAATAGGGAGAATTATTTCAGAAGGGATGACGCTTGTTGTATTTTGTTTTTATTTTACGACGTCATAAACGTCATTTATTGTGCAGTTAGCGTGCGCCGGGTCGCGTACCCCTTGTCATTTGAAATTCTCACAGACTCGTTATTTTTAAACATATTTTATTGATTTTTTCACTGTATATAGAAGATATATTCCGATATTATTATCTTGTAAAATTGTGCACGTAAATTGAAAAATGTGAACAGTAGAACTGCAGTCCTATTACTTTTTGAACAACCCTCTTATTTTAAGTTGTAAATCTTGAATGCAAACACCTTTTTAAATGTGCAACGTTTTATTAATAACGTATAATAAATAAAATGTGACATGCTTACCAATTTGTTTGATCTGTTTCTGTGATTGTGCCTTACGTCACACCGACGACACAGTATAGACCATATGGCATCGTTCTAGCCATGCTTACCAATTACAACACAACTAATAAGCTATATTTAATATTGGTCTCTATTTCCAAACCGTCACTTAGTCAAAGTCAATGCAACCAGTTCTGGAAATTTATTTTTGCACTTTTCCTTGTGCAACCTTCATTAAGCAAATGACATCTTCCAATTTTAGTAAGTTAAAAGCTTTGATAGTTTGGTTGTAGTGAATTATGTAGTTTAGCTCATACAGCCTTCGTTTGACTCATATCCTCAATTTGTCATAGGTAAACACTTGTTATAATGCAACTTAAAGTGTTAGAGTAAGTGGTCATATAGGTAAAAGTATATGATGATAAATAGATTTTTACACTTTTATTAATAGACAGATGTGCATTTAAATACATTGACAAAAGTATATTGTTTTGGGAAACATCCATCGTATTAGGCTATTTTTCTGTTAAGACTCCGAAGACTATGCCAAATTATTAAATTGGAATTATTTTGATGTTTGCCGATTATCAGGAAAAACGTGATCCATCGGAAACATTAAAAAACAGCAGAATTACATGAAAATTGCAAACTCGATTTGATTGTGTCTGCACCTTAGGGATAATGAAATAGTGAAACATCCCTCAAGTCCCCTGGCACCGGCAAAATATTAACCAAATAATATATAATATGAACCAGTTCATTTTGGAATGTTCAACACTGATATATTTTAAAAGTAGTTATTTATCAAACAACGAATTTATCATTTAATTCCATTAAAAAACAAATGTCTACTTAGTTTCAATTTTTGCTAGGGAATGCTGCGCTCATTTTACTTTTGTTAGAATTATTCATCTTGCAAATGATTTCATGCTGAAATCATTAGAAACAACTATAAATACACTGCTTTATTTTCAGCCTGATGAAAATGATAAACCAAATTATACTTTGTTCCAAGCACTCATCTTTACCTACCTATATAAAACTGAGATTTGCAGTTAGACGGAACTTCAGTGGACTAGAAAATGTAGACACCTTTCAAATATTTCTTCGAAACCTGAAACATTTTGATGATAAAAAAGAGGTATTGTTACGTTTTTTAACCTTATCAAGTTTGGTTTCTTTTGTTTCTTCTTAACCCTGTTTTTGTGTTAAAAAACACACCAACGTATGAAATCATTCAATGTTCATAACATTTATCTTTTTAAGCGTCAACGTGGAGATCCGGATGATAGTTTTACAGGACTGTTGAAATCCTGGATAACAAATGAATACAGGTATTATATTTTCAAGTAACAGTTTATTTAATATTGTCGCTTTTATTCCTTATTATTGCTTCATATATTTCATAATATCTTATACAAAGTGATATTTTACTATTGCCAAATATGTTTAATACAGCCTTTTTTGTAAAATATCTGATTTTTATTTAACATTGTTAAATCAGCAAAATACATAAATAAAATATGTAATCATTATTTTGTCTATTCTGTTTTTAATAACGAGTATGATTTTTGTACACTTTTGGCAATGATTTGCCACATTAAAAAGAAATGCAATTCAATCGCCCATAAGGATTATCTTCGAAGAGTTTTGTTTTGCGTATTAACATGACTGTGACACATGAATTAATGCATGACATTTGATTATGATAGTGAAAGCCGGCATTTACTTCTCTTGACCGAAAACTACAGCGCGATCGCCATGTTTGAGCAAGCATTCCTAACAAAAACCAAAGTTCAGCCAATTGTTATTTTCGGAAGCAGTTTTAGACGTGATCAAGAATACACACAGGTAAACAAAAAAGAAATATTTATACTTATATAACTAAAGGATAAATGTATATCAATTTGATAAATATAAGATAAATACTTAATGCGTTCATTTATTTCGTTTAAATTTGCTGTTTGTATATATTCTTATATACCTGGCAATGTAACAAATTGTGTAAATTGAAGTTGATGTCCGAACAGTAATTGGTCCAATGATTACATTAAGAATCAATATAAAGAACGACAAAAACGGCAAATAAAAATTGTTGCAATTTAGGTATGATTAATTTTGTTTATTGGAAGAAGTGACAATTGTAATGTTAACATCCTATAGCACGGTGTAAATTAAACAAATGGACAGAACAAGGTGTCTCGTTATGTTAACGAGAAAAATCAGCTTAATGTTGCCTTTTTGCACACATAATTTATTTATATTTAGGTTAATGAATAAGTATTTACTCTTTGTCATTGCATGTACATTCAGTGGAAGAAATCATGTATGTCTTGCATGCTCAAAGAAATACCTTTGACTTCATTTAGCCTGCTGTACAAACTGTTTCAAAGTGTTATTTTTATTTGTCCGAACTGTGTCCTTTTATCTTGCAATATATGTGTGATTAATTTCCTACCCATGTTGTACGAACTTATGCTGTTTCGTTTTCTTCAGGTGTTTCTGTAATGTCTATGTCCGTGTTTATTGCAGTTTAGCTTACAAAAAAGTAACCATCAGCCTCTTTGAATACAGATATTTTATATCCATGACCATCTACCTGTCGACATAGCTTCTTCAATTACTTGTACATGTTTTAGACTTATTTGATAATTTAATTTCTAAAACCCACACGTGGGAAAAATCATTTGTCTTTTCTTAGAAATGACAGATTATTTTCCAAAAACAGGAAAAGAATGACGTTATTAATCGCTTTTAGAGATTATAAGATTTTGAAGAAAATGTGCTTTTTGTTGATTTTTATGTAATCGATGCGAATATATATTAGTACTAAATAAAATGTAATCCAATAAAACGTTCGAATATCTGGATTTCACTCTACTAAAATTTTAAATGAAGATACATCATTCATGTCTGATTCATGCTAGATGATTTTTACTTTTAGCTGTTTCTATTCTATTGTTGGTAAATATTTATTACAGCTTATTATCAATGTAACGCGGCCAAGGTTAAAAAATCTAGTTCAGGGTTTTCTTATAACAGCAAGTGCTAATTGTTTTAAGCAGCTATAACAGAAGGTGATTTTGCACGGGATCATGGAACTCAGCCAGTTTTTATCTGTGTTAGAATTTTCTTTATCATAATGAACGCAAAACAATCACAGCTGGACTACACTTTTTTCCGTCCTTCAAAATGTTAATTTTATTGCTCTGGTGGCATTAAAATTTTCTGAATAATTCGAAACTTTCTTGTTTTTTTTTATATGAAATTATTGTTAAAAATATTAAAATGGAACTGATAATTTATTTAGAGTTTTCTCGTGACATTCTATATAATTATTATAACGATTCAACATTAGCTTTTAATAATAGTATAATTCTCCTTACTTTTATCTTTTATTACCATTTGATAACCGAATAGTTATTACCGAACGAGTTAAATTTACGTAGTTGTAATCCTCAACAAACCATTGTTTATGGTTTCTTTAATTTATTATTACTTACTTTTAACCATATGCATCAAATTAAATTGGAAAATGATAAGGATAAAATTTAAAATCTGCCTAAAATATTTAAATGACTGCCCCTCTCTTTTTATAAATTAAACCTTACACGTAAATTCTATTAAATGATATTTACGGATATTTCGTTTGAATACGGTGGTTATTTATTGTTTATGCGAAGTAAACTATTAAATCAAAAGGAATTGTGGCAAAATGAAAAACTTTTTGAGTCTCACCTGTTTACTCACTATATACCTTTAGATGGACATAATGTCACTTTAACCCTTTCCCTCATGAGCATAGTGTGTAAAATGACCGTTTTCATTGAAAGGCCTCCTGCTACAAGTTCAAACTGCTATGAAACTATGAAAAATGCTTCAATACTAATCCAACATAGCACAAATGTTGACTAGACCGTTGCCTTTGTGAAGACATGATCAGTCTTAAATTTTCTGTTACCAAAGCAACGAGGGGACATCTCAAAATTGCCTAAAATCACTATTTTGCGTTTATTTTTTCCATCAAAATTGATTTCAAAGTGCTGCAACTTCTCAATGGATTGAGATACGGTCAAGGCTTTTCAGCGTTGGTTACACATTACCTAACGATCGACATGGGGTCATTTTTTGCCTCTCGCAAGTCCAAAAATGTCGTTGCGATGAGAGGGACTACCGCCACCTTCAAACCTCCAACACAGAAGGGGCATTTCCCCCTTTTGGCAACCCCCTGATGTACATTTTTGATAGGGGTGGCGCCGAAAAAGTGATAACTATTTAGCAACATTTTCCAAACGAAAAACAGTGTTTGGTCTAAATAGGGTAATGTTTTGTATACTGTTTTGAGCCTCAAAAGGGGGAACGAAAAGCCGTCAAAACACGTCTATATACATTGTAAAGAAAGGCTTCACAAAATATTTATTTTTTAATTCATCATGCCTTTCAGAAAGTGAAGATATGTTCTGATGTGTACCATATTTTAATCTATTTATTTCTGTATTGGCATTCCATTTTATGAAATAAAAAATATATTTTTGTGTCCCCGCCATAAAATGGCTGGGGCATATAGTGTTACCCTGTTCAGTTTGACATAGGAATATATTATGAGAAAAAAATAGGTCAAGTTCGAATTTGGTCATGGTCCGATGATTTTTGAGTTTTGTCCCTTGATGAAATTTTTAGTTTCCGTTCATTATCTCCCCCAACAGTATTACACATTAAACTCAAACTTGACCTATTGATACGTCAAAGGAATGCGCAGGTCAAGTTCGAATTTGGTCATGGTTCGATGATTATTGACAGAGTAATGCCCCTTTCACTTTGAAAATAATTTGAAATTTTCAGTTTCCGTACTTTATCTTCCCAAAAGTTATGGATATGTCATAAAAAATGCACTGGTCAAGTATGAATTTGGTCATGGTTAACTTTGATGAAAGCTGACAGAGTTATCCCTCTTGAACTTAAATTTGACATAAAGATACATCTTAGGAATTAGCAGTTCAGGTTTTTATTTGGTCGTGGTTCATCGATTTTGGACAAAGTCATCTCTCTAGAATGTTGGAAAACTTTTGAATTTTCAGTTTCAGCACTCACACTTGTGTTGAAATGTATGTATGTAGTCATTATTTTGGCTACAAATATGCAATATGCAATTTACAAAAGGTTAACACTGAATAGTTTCAGTGCCTTGAACTTTGTTTAAAAATGATTTATGTTAACATTGAATAGTTTTAAGGGCTTTGAACTTAAAATAAAAAAAATAGTTTGTGCAAACAAATTTGGAACTGAATATTATAACATTTGGCTGCATGCGGGGGCATCCGTGGCGTGACGACACATTTCTAGTTTGTTATTTATTTTATTGGAATAAATTTCAGATTTGCAGGAACATCAACAAAATCAAGATCTGCATGGAGACTGGAAAATTAGTTATTCTTGTAAACTCGGATAATTTGTATGAAAGTTTGTATGACGCTCTGAACCAATACTATGTTTACTTTGGAGGAGAACGTTACGTTGATTTAGGCCTTGGAACTCATAGAGTGAAATGTCCTGTCCATAAAGATTTCAAGTAAGTTGGTATATAGTTTTTTTAGTTTAAGTCACGTTTAAACTTGATTAAACTACAGACGACATTTTTTTTTTGTATTGCATTCTTTAAATTTCAGACAGTAATGAAATGTAACAGTACGGCTTGCAAGGTTATTCAGATTAAATTATTAATTATAAATTCAATTATTTTGGCATCTGGTATTCATTTATTTTAAAGCATATGCTACACTTGAAAGCAGCTGAATTATAATCGAAAGAGCTCGTTTCATAAAGACATAATATGTTATATTCTAACAACAGTCAATGCCACACCTTACATAACATTTTATATTATAAAAGGTTGATTGTTGTTGCGGAAAAACAAACCGTGTATGAAAGATTCCCTATACCTTTGATAAACAGACTGGAAAAACATTGTCTGATGTCGACAACTTTGTTGAATGAACCTCAAATTCATTTAGCAAGATCGTTAAAAGAATGGGCTGAAGGTGTCACAAAACAATCACTTACATTGAGGTACGAACACTACGTCCGACTTGAAGTTTAACATTGTCTTGTCAAACTTATAGCTTGAACATGAACATATTATTTTTAAACTCCTATATTCGAGTACTTTCGTTTTCCAGTGCTTAGTGAGTTTAATTGGTAACCTCATTTGCTGTAGTGAAGTTCAAGTATATCGCGCTTGGCTCACTGTATGTGATATGAAAAGTCCGATCATATATTTGATTTGATCACATACGAGTATATGTACTCCCAGAAATGATCATGACGACTATTTTAGCTTTTTGATTTTTAAAATTCAAATTTCCAAGTCAAGAAGTTCAGTTATAATAGGGTTATGACATTACAGTAAACTCCGCTTATAACGAACTAATTGGGACATTCAAAATATGTTCCTTATATCCGGAGTTCCTTGTAAGCATATAGCGAATAAGTTCCTTGTATCAGGAGTTTTTTTTAGCGAACAGCTTTACATATATCGAACTGATTATTTACCATCGTCCGCCATTTTGAAGAGCATTTGATTAACAAAACTAAGTCATTTATTTCTTTATTTTAGACACAATACCCGAGGGCGTACTTTTTTAAATTTGAAAATCCTTTGCTAATTCAGTTGTAGTTTTACTCCTTAGTTCAATTCCTCATAAAATATCATTTTTTTGTTTCTAAATTCAGTGTTTTTCGTTTTCTTTCCATGATTAACAATAAACAAGATTTTAGATTTTTCCTTCCTTCTTCTATTATATTTTAAGGGTGACTTTTACTTATGAAAGATATAGATTTCTTTTCATTTCAATCAAGCATACTTTCTAGTTTTCAATGGATTAGCAAGCATTCGTGATTATGTTGAAGACCGATTATAAATGATCATAATTATTTTACTCGAGTACAAATATTAAAGGAAAGAAATATTAGAATAAAAGGAATAACCGCTTTATTTTGGTGACAAGAACTCATGCTAAAATACCCCTAATAGAAATTTATTACGTACTACTACACATTCATTTTCACAGCTGTATTGATAAACGGTAATTCGGCCGAGTTTCAATCCGTGACAAAAAATGAAAGTTAAAATTGCGTGATCCATTTACGGATAGCCGATATTTTGGAGTTCGTTATAAAAGTGTAATTTTCTGTACTTGTAACTAAATTTGGACTAAGAAATGTGTTCCTTATAAGAGAGAATTCCTTATCAATGTGTTCTCTATAATCGTATATTTTTATATTAAATAAAAAAGGCCAAAATTCGGGCCAAAATGAATTGTTCGTTATAACCGGGAGTTCGATATATCCGTGTTTGCTATAAGTGAAGTTTACTGTATAACCTTGTCGGTTCGAGATTCAAACTTTCGTAAGGATCACGATCAATCATATGACAAAAGAAACATTTTTTTATGTATCCAATTAATTTGTTAATCATTAAACCAAACATACAATCGAAATATATATGATTGCAACAGGTTATTTCATCAAATAGTCATTAAAAGTGAAGTTTGTTATTCACATTTTCTTCTTATTTTCTTCTTGTATGGTAAGTGTTTCTTTTCAAGTTATAAATCGTAAGTAATTACGATATCATATGGAATTTAAATTTAAAAAATGCCATAAAAGCATGGTGTATACATGTATACACCTAGTTTACTTTTGTTTGTTCTGCTTCATTAATACTGCAAATAGTTAAAAGTTTATATAACAAAACTACTTTGCCATTACACTTCTTTTTCCATTTAAAATCTAACTTTTTTTCGTTCTTGCTAAGGAAGTCTTTGCAAGTCTATATAATATATAGGTCTATATAATATGTTAACATAAAGGGTATCTTAAAAATTACAATTGAAAAATAATAAAGTGATGTGTAAATATTCCGTGCGCAGAACATTCTGTAATATTTTCAAGGCACAGTCCTACGGAAAATGATGTTGCAAAGGTTTTTATCGGCTATCATCACGATGTCTGCGCGACACTAGCACTTGAAACCTGGACAGATGAAATGAGTTTTGAAAATAATGATCACTGGGATGAGGTGAATATGTAGGAGTTTGAAATAGATGTGCATATGAAAGACAAGTTACAATTACTGAATGTCTGCTATTTGCATTTTATAGTGTTTTGTGTTTGAAAAGTAAAAGCGTGAAGATAAGCATGTCATTACATGTCATGTTTAGAAATATTTAAACAACTGCTATGTTATAACACAAATTTCTTTTTTAAATTAGAAGAATATATTTAAAAATGTAAACAACGATGTTTACTGAATTTCAATTTAGATATATACATGAAAAATAAACTTTCGTATGCTTAAACAAAGTATCTTTGTTAATTGAATGCATAAAATGATTAAATGCATGAACAATTGACTGATACAAACATTTCCCTATTTCAAGGCCATCGACAAGTCGAAAGACATTCTTTTGTGGTGTGCAGCACCCGATGCAATATTGAGACTTTCAGAAGAGCGGGATAATATGCAAGATATGTACTGGAACAAACAATCACACGAAAGCCTGAAAGAATATCTTTCATTTCATTTTAAAAAAGGAGATAAAGATAGACTTTACGCACAAGTGAGTAATTTACTATTTAGTGTATTACGGCAATTTGATTCATAATAATAATAATAACAACGTTTTAACAGTGTTTTTAATTTGATACATGTTTAAATTGATCGGATGAATGTATTTGGGAATGACAGAGATTTTACAAAATGTCCAGTAACAAATGGGTTTATTCGCATTATTTGAACAAGATCAATCAATTAAATCGATGAAATTTTGAAGTTTCCGCCACACACTTTGTTTAGAAATCACATTGATACAACTGCGTTTATGCAGCGGTGTAAAGTTTTTATCACGGACACGGGCGTGAATATTTTTAATACTGGTATGAAATACATGTACTATAAAATCTGGTATTTTTTTCTAATAAATTTTAGTTTATCTATAATGGAATATGTACATTATAATTAAAAGTTGGGCCAAATGTAACGCCGACTTTGCTAATTGAGTCTGTAGGAAACTCAAACGTTCAACATTTTCAAACTAAAATGTTGAGTCTGCTGAGGCTGGGGTGTTTTAGGGTTAAGGCGGAGGCTAACACTTCCAGTACATTCTATGAACTCGCTCAATCAAACAGAACCTGCAACATTTGTATTCTTAATATTTTGGGGGTTATAAATTCTGTTTCTGATTATGTAAGTAATTAACTTGCAAAATGTGTTCAATTCTGTTTCCCTTCATTTGCATTAATCGCTATTCTTATTGCCTCTTAATTCCAAGATCGGATAACTTAAATATTCTTTATCGTTAACTTAAAAATAGATTTAACATATGCTGTATTGGTACTAAGAATAATGTTTTATAGTCAATGATTGTTGATATTAACACATATTTTTGAATAAACAGATAACAACCCACTCGTCACTGTTGACAGCATCATACAAACACGCACTCAGAGATGCAACCGGAATACACCTCAACAGAATTTTGATTTTAGAAGCACTGCCATCCTTTGACACAGAGCAACAATTCATTAGCAAGATCAAGTATAGATATGTTTATCGTATTAAAAAACATCCATCTTGTTTGCAATATGCATATATCCATTTCAAGCTTTCTTTTGAGCATTGATTAGATTTAATATGAATTTGTCAAAGACATCGAGATTCAGAAACGACTACAATGATTAATTTGAAAAAGGCAAAGATGTGTTTTGTAATATTATGATAACAGTTTTGAGCATGAATAACCGTTATCAATTTGTCAGAATAGGGCTGCTCGTAAACAATTTGTTTAAAAAATGACAAACAATTATTTTTCAGCTAAATTACTATAATTGTTGTTGTGTCAGAAAAAAAGGAGACCTAAAATAAATATAGTTGTGAAGAGAAGAAAACAAGCAATGTTTTGGCCTATTTGGCCTTATAATTATATACTTTACATTTAGACTTTCAAATAAGTAATGATTTAAACATGTTTTTATACTTTAAAATGTTACATAAACTATTATATATGATCAAAAAAATTAATCCCTTATAATCCGAAGATATGTAATATAGTGCTTTTCACGGCTTCTCTACAGATATCCAATCGTAAGTCCATGAAGTGCACATTATTTCACATAAAACTAGAGATAACTTTAATTTAATGATGAAAAATGCATAAATGTGCTTAAAGTCCGTGGTATATCGCAATAAAGTTTAAAGCGACCATGTAAGCACTCATAATTTTAAGTGAGAATTACGTCTAAGAAGAACACGAATTAAGACTTTTGCGATTGATACAATAAATTCAATGCAATATTATGATAACTTGACCTTTTATTAATTTAATATTCAATCCCTCAATCCCTTTAATTTCTGTTTTTATCATAGATTAATGTTTCAAAACATGATTATTAATTCTGACAGAGCGTATTACAAAATGTATTTCTAGAGGACACATTATAAGATCACAGAATGACGAGCCAGCTCTCATCGTTGTTCAGTGTGATTCCGGTGACAGATACACAAATTTGATTGCATGTGCAAAGTACGCAATTTTAGATGAATGTACCAAGCTAACATACAAAGCACCTGTCAGTATCATTTTTATTGTACAATTAACACCGATGGAAAACAAAAACTTTCACAGTATCCAGGTATGCCAGTGGTAGTTATTATATTATTTTTTTTTCTTATATCAGATAATAAAATCCCTTCGTGTTTTTTCATTATTATGTCTTCAGTTTTATGTATCATCTGTATTTTACTTTATTCAGTATTTTGTACCTTGGAACAAAAATTGATTTATTCAAGCGTATCATACTATTTTACATATTTTGTCTTATTTATTTCAGTGTGGTGACTGGCAGTCAGTTCATATAGACAATCTCTACACTCCAGGAATTGAAATGCCATCAATAAATGATATGCAAAGAAATAGAATGAGTGTTCTTATTGCTAAGTCAATAGAAGGCAGAAGCAACTTCTCACTTGATCAGAATGAGATACCGTACGTGTTACCGCTGTTTCTTTCTTTTATTTTGATTTTTGTTAAGTTAGTTTTACATTTCCTCTTTAAGCATTTTAGTTTCAAGTGCAATACTCTATTTGGCGAATAAGAGCAATCAAACCTTTATTTGGCGAGACGCTTGCCGAGAAAATCAGTTTTTCAGTTATTGTACAAATCTAATAGAGAATAGTATTGTACTCACCTTCAGTTCTAATTCATTTTACTTTTCGACAGAAATATGTAGTACAGTAATTCGACTGCATTTTGATATTTTTATCATTTCTGTGTTTAATTTGTTTGCCCTATCCATAGCGATTGTGATAATTTCACTTGATTGACGCATATCTATTCACACTGTCCCGTACTATATGAATATAGAGGGGCCGACGCCTTTTTATCCAGATTAAACTCCCAAATAGTAATTATGATACTGACTGTTCCGAGGCGGAACCCTTCTGTGATCATCCACATGTTTGCATTTCTAGCCCCTTAATGTCCTATCCTGGTCATTTTAATTCCTTGACCTGTAACAGCTATGCAGCCTGTGTCGATTTTTATTTATTCTTGAACTGGGACGAAAATAAAAACGGAGGTACACTTATTATGTTTATGACTGGATATGGATTATTTGAACTTGGGTAATAAAAATGGAGGTAAATTATTACAATATTGACATGATAAGGATTTTTTGGAAAACGTAAATTAAGCTTATTCATATGACTCACATTGATCCATATTGAATCATCATAATTGTACAGGAAATGCTTGTGGTTTATTGGTTTCATAAGATGTGATATATTTTATTTTTTTGAAAGAGCAAAGCAAGACAAAAAAAATAGTAATTACTAATATATTTTTTTTACAAGACATGAACAAGACAAGTGTCTTAATTTACGACTGTTGATAGAACGTAGTCTGCAGAGAGCTGTGTCATTAGTAAGGGACCCTGAAGGAAACAAACATAGGTCTACTAAAAGAGTGTCTTTGATACTGCTCATATTACATGACAGTTCAAACAAAGGTATTGTCTTTAGACACAAATATATTACCAAAGCTGAATATAAAAGCGTGTAATAGTTGTTAACCTATGCTGTATCATTTATAAAAGTTATAAAAGCGAAATGTTGTTATTGCGTTATTGCTGTAGTAAAAGTTTTACTATGACGTATACTTAGTTTACTTTTATATTCAAAATTGTGTTCATTTTGATGATAGTTTCTCAATGAAGATCTTTGATTATTGTTTTTTAATATGTTAAACAAATTAGTCAACCTAAACTTATGAAAACAACAGTTTTCAATATTTACTATTTTGTTGGTGTTTTTACAATCTGCCAAATCATCATCTGAAATGTTTTCTTAACGCTTCATGATCATTTGATATCAATTGAAACAAGTAACTGCATTAAAATAGAATATAAATTCCTGTTGAAATGTCTAATTTTCAATACATGATTTTATTGAAAAGATTGTGATGGCTTTGTCAGAGGAATAAGTGAATTAGTCCAGAAGATCATGGCTGACAAGGAGAACGAACCTTCGTCTACTACTCCAGATATGTGGCTCTCAAAAGAGGCCGCATCAATTGTGGCGATTGAAAAATTCGGAACATTTAGGTAAGATTTGTAATTTGTCTGTGCGTAAAATGTTGAATAAATACCTATAAAGTTGTTCTTTAAAAATATGGTATGATATGATAAACAAGATCAACAAGGATAGGCGGCGTTCAATGAACGTCGTGTGGGAGTTACCAAGCTACAATATCCAGGACAAGAAGCCCAGGAGGACTTTAAACAAAAACAGGACAGGGCACAAGTTAGAGCACATACAGGATAATCGCCCAAATGATACTTAAAAATAAATAATAGTAACCGTCAAGGACATTAAAGAAATCAAATAATTGATTGACTAGTAGGGCCAAAAAGTTAAAAGGCGCAGGAAAAGGAGACCCGAGATTCGGGGAAAGGAGGGGCAAAAAATAATAAAACAAGGGGCAAAAGGGCAATTTTTTATCGTAGACGAGAAAACAATAAGAAGGGATACAAACAAAATTGTCACCAAAACAGTATATAGCAACAGAGACATACATCTGAGGAATACAGAGAGGCGCCGCCTTGGGACAATCAGCAGGATAAGTACTACTATATTAAACCGGTTAATAGTGCACTAAACACGAGACATTTGAAATAAGATGAATTCCCGCCAAGCGACAATGTAACGTTGTTATGGTTGCAAAAGGTTAAATAAGTAAAACGAGGTAACGATCATGTAGTTACATATAAAAGTAAACCCAATGACCATAAAAAGTACCCAATGTCTTAAAGGAAGACAGATCAACAAGAAAATATCCTACAAGGGCCCGACGAAGCAAAACAGAAGACAAAAATAAAGACAAACTTCGTCACAGGTTTACAAGTTTAACAAAACAGATAGTTAAAAAAAGCATTTTTTAGAATTACATGCAAGAAAGATTACTTTTTCCCCAGCAAAGTTTTCTGAATAAGAGAATTAGTTTATCATTAATTAACTTATGTGGCAATGTTGTATAAAGTGTAAAAAAATCGTATGTTCTGACAGTTGAAGCTGGTTTATTCTTAATTTTGAATTTATCCAAAAATCCTAAAGAACCAAATATATATTTGCCAGTGTTTTCATAGACGGTATGATATAATCAAGTTGCATGTGTTTAATGGCAGTCACACACGCAGTTAATTAAAAACAAAGTTTACATGTAGTGTAAGAGGTAGAATGAGCAATTAATATTGCTTTTTAGGGATTTTTATGTAATTTAGGAATCCAATATATGATAAGAAGTTTCAGTTCTTTTATACCTCACAAGAACCGAAGGTGCAGTGTGAGCTATCAGTATCAAAAGGAATAGTCCGGCGTCCGTTGTCATGTGTAATTTCTGATGCTGAATTGAATTTTGATATCAGCTGGCATTCTTTTTATTTTTTTAAAATTGTTTGACCTGTTGTCATTTTAGTAATAGTTATGTAAACATATAGAATGTATATTAAAAAAGTGTCTCAACTATAATTTCAAACATCTCTACCTTACATATTTTGCATGTGACATTTTGTGTATTAATTCACAAAAGTAAAAAGTTAAAAATCAAAATTAACCCTGCTGTAGAGATTCTGTGTTTATTCTACATATACTGATGCTGAATTGAATTTTGATATCAGCTGGCATTCTTTTTATTTTTTTAAATTGTTTGACCTGTTGTCATTTTAGTAATAGTTATGTTAACATATAGAATGTATAAAAAAGTGTCTCAACTATAATTTCAAACATCTCTACCTTACATATTATGCATGTGACATTTTGTGTATTCATTCACAAAAGTAAAAAGTTAAAAATCAAAATTAACCCCGCTGTAGAGATTCTGTGTTTATTCTACATAGGTCTCATAAGTACACACTTGCAACATAGATATTTTCAACAAAGCCTCTCCAAAATATAAGGACAAAATATTTCAATTTATAAATTGAACAATGAATTGACAGGTCAGATCTAGGGTCATCTTGGCCCTATTGTTTATTATAAGGATAAAAAAATATAATCGTTGTGAAAGTATATAACTAGAAAGGCAAGTTAAAGTTGAGCCGGGCTTGTCTTTGTTTGAAAAATAATTTTAACACTGATAAACAGTTGTTTATGGTGAGCGACTCAGGGCCATAATGGCTCTATTGTTATTAATTTACACTTTAAGATTGGAATTATTAGTGGTATGTCTGTTAGTATGTTTTACAATACGTACTGTTAAGTTCATTATTAAAATTGTTAATGTAATGTATACGTCATACAATTATAATCTTATTTGCCGCCTTGTCGGCTGTCACTATTACACATTTTGATTGAAAATCTAGAATATCTTTTTCCAGATGTTTTTCAGATGTTAAAGTATGTCTTGGCTTAGGCGACAGAGTATGTTCATTTTAACGATAACAATTAATACTTGAATCAACCATTTTAAAGATGTTATGTTTCCATATCACTAGAGCATTACTGACAACCTCATTTAGTAAAGAAATCCTCAATAGATTCCGCAATCTGACTACAGCAAGCGTTAAAATCAATTTCAGAAGGAATTCTGTATTTAGGTTCTTTCAAGAACAAATTACGATTTTTTTTGTCTGAATTTATATCAAAATTACCAGTGATAATATGGCCAAAATCCGAATCACAGAATTAAGAAGTATTGCAGTCTCAAGTTGTTTGAGTATTGGACAGAAAATTTAAGTCAGAGTCAACCTTGTTATAATTTGATTTAATACTTTAAATAATATTAGATTATATTATATTATATTATATTATATCATATTATATCATTATTGCAAATAATTGGAATCAGTTTTTGAAAATATAAAGGAACTGAATCATTTAAACGTTTATCACGAAATATACGAAATCAATACATTTATTTAGAAAGTTTATTTTATGAAAATGCTTGTCGTGGTCAGAAGTGTTGTCGATAAGAGGTGTTAGGACGTGTTGAGTATAACGTTTGAATACGATAATCTGCTGTATATAAAGGATCAGTTTAAATTACTATATTATCAGCCTCCGCGTCTTATTTTTTCAAAGATGGTTAAGAAAGAAAAATAAGTCGTGAAAGCATAGCATGTTTACCAGAATAGTATACGATACTATTATCATCGGTCGCAGACAGGGTCATTTTAGATTTACGTTTGATGTTTCATTTCCACGTACTCCATGAACTCGGGATCTACGTTTAAGAATATTCGGAATAGAACATATCTCAATGTTAGGCTCTTTAAAGATGTAACCTTGTTGAAAACTATTGCGATTTAGGCCCAGCGGGAAAGGAGATTGTAAATTCTTGATCCATTTAAATTCTGCTATTAGAAATGTTTTACTTTAAAACTAGCCGAAGCATCAGGATCATAAATAATTTACTTCACCGGCTGTATCGAAACATTTTTAAATGAATGGCAATATTTACGGAATTGTTGATATAAGAAAGAAGTGAAGAGTAGTCTCTTTATCTATTAGGATGATTTGTATAAGTGATATTATATTTCTTTAAAATGATATGCTTAAAGGGCATACCCGAATGCTTAAAGAATTATTGAACATACCGTATTAGAGTTTATGGATCGTGGAATATAAAAAAAATTAATAGATGACTTAAAGTAAAAGGTAATAAAACGACAGATGATGTTCCTCTAGATGTACTAAGATATCTAATATGTACTGAACATTTAGACGAAAAGTGTACCAGAAGAGGTGAAAGAAATGTGTATTACTCATTTTAAAGTTATTCATGATTATTTGTTGAAAACGGAAATGATTGCGAGTACATAGGGCACTTATAGAAAAAAAGTAAAGAGACTAAAGTCACAGATAACACAGAATCTGCAAAATGGTAAGATTACAGAAAATATGGGTATGACAATTATATTTATACGGTTAAAATGAAAATAAACTATTAGTCCATGTAGGCTGGCCAAGGAAGGAAACAATAACACTGAACGCAGAACAATCCTTTCAGGATGAAAATATAACAAAATTGATTGGATGTACGGGTACGCTTTTTGACAGCCGACACATGGCACAAACAGCATGAAATATGATAATAAGGATCAAAAAGGAAAGGCAGCGTTCAACTCACACACAACCCAGCAACAAGAACCAGCGGGAAGGAGCCCAGAAGGACACAAAACAATTTGTTGAAACGTTTTTTTCGACACAAAGTGCCGTTCTCCTGATACACATATTTCTTATGTTATTTACTCATATGACGGTCTTACATCATGTATTTTCATTAAAACATTTTTAGCCTCTAAATTATCAACCTTTTTCTTACACCTTATACTGCTTTAATATGTTAGTTTTCTCGTTTTTTTTTAAAAAAAAAACAATTTTATTATAAATTTGTATTTTGTATGTTTTTGCTTCTTCGGTCAACCAGAAAAAAAATTATTATGCAAATGAAACATTTAGACACAGAACATTACAGTTACCATACATTTATGTACTTTCCATTTTAAAAACGTTGATTAGTTGGGACTATCAACAAATATTGTTATGTATGTCCCTCTTGCCTTAGAACAACACTGAATTGTATAAACAATAATTAGAAAACTTTATCTGCAAAACAGGCGTGCATGTATTGAAGCGTTTGATACACGGATGTCGCCTATTCTTGGTGGGCTGTTTGCAGCATTAGATACAAATCACAACTTAAATTTGCTGGAATGTGGCGTTGGAACTTGGCAGCGGAATCTGTGGATAGCACTTATAAACACAAAGGAAGTTAGTGAACAATTGGTAAATAATATTTTTGTTTCTTTTATTTTTATTACTCATTAGTAAGCCCTTTTATGTGTCATGGGGTAGTTGTTTCTTTATTTAAGCAATGGTATTTTTATACATTTTTTAACGTCGTCTACACTTTTTAATAGTTGACAAAAGTTCACACTGAGAGAGGGCTACAGTTTGAAGTGTATGGCACTGGCTATGGGGGTCGTTTGTTTCAATGCAAAATGCCGTTCTCATGGATCATTCTGTCTACATTTGATGCAATCTTACAGCAGCACAGTGTGCTTATGCAAGAAAATAATGGTAAGAACAATCATTACTGTTTTAAAACTAATTTTTTAAATTCCTTTTTGAAATATTTTTTTTAAACTAAGTTGATTGGGTGTGAGTAGGAAATAAAGACATGATAGGTTTTTAGTGTCTTTTAAGTTCCAATATCATATCTTGTGTATACTAGTTTATTTGTCTATATTCTATCTATTTCTTTGTCAGAACAAGAGAAACAGTTAGTGGAAATACTTGGACAAATGGAACTTATCCAAGCCATAGATTCTGTTCCGAAAGAGGATTTCTATGGCGTCTTTGAATCTTATATCACCGACTTTGTGCAAACAGTTTATCCTGAAGAAAAGGACAGACAGGTGAGTCACGCATATGAAAATAATATTATGTTATAAGATGGGTAGTTTATTTTAGATAAATTATTTTCCATAAATACTTAAACATGTCTTATAACTCTTTCGGAACCTGATTCAACTGAAGATGAAATGTGATCTGATATTTTTATTCAGAGAGAAATATTAATTTTATCATAATAACATAGACCAATGCCTATAATTTCAGCTTGTTTTCATGTCAATTAAGCAAATGACACTTGGTCGGATTACCTCCGACAATACATCTGTAACAGCCGCATTTATACTGGTCCACCAAGTTTACCAGGAAACAAAAACTAGATTGAATTACTATCGGGACATCAGCAATGTATGGTGTGGATGTACAAATGCTGTGATGGCATGTGATAGCAATTTTGATGATCCGGATAAGAATTTGGTACAACCTTTGCCTTTGCTAATAGGACAAAGACATTTTGCTATAATAACTGTACCCTTAAATATTTTTGATTTCTCTGTTTCATCGTTTTGTTTCAGAGAGATATATTATTAACCATCTTTTAATAGAACTGTTTTATATTAAATGAGCTGATAGTTTATATTTTAGGTTTCTTTTATAATTTAATTCATTTCTTTCATCCGAACATGTGTGAAAAATATAAACTGTGATATACACACATATGAATAAGTTTCAATCCATTATAAAAACAGGAATTCCTTGGATTAAGCACTCTTATTGAACATATTTCACCTAAAAGCGAAACGGAATGGTTTCAATTAGACAGTAACAGGGACAATTGGCTTGAACAGGTTCAAAGATATAGACAGGTTGTAAATCAAACGTTAGCGTTTTGTCAAGACAATATGACAAACACCGCACTTGTTGCAAAGGAAAGGTTTGTTCTGTTGAAAATTATTATCAGTTGAACTTATGTTAAAGAAACCTTGATATTATCTATATATTACCAAATGAGTATAACAAGATAACTTTGGATTTTTTCGCAACTCTTATGTTTAATATCTATGAACATATTTTATTAAACTCATCAATTATAAAACAATAGGAACGCTTTAATATTAAAAAGATGTGATAAGTTGACATTTTGTTTCAATTTACAATGTCTAGATCAAAGTGGAATCGTATAGTCGTAATGCAGTTGTGTATCGAAAACAAAAGTTTCCCAAAAGAAATTTTCTCTATACTATGGAAGGTAAGCGAACCACTTCATTTCCGTTAAGAGCTTTTTTTTTTCAAAACATTTTAGTAAATTTAACTATTTTTGCTGCTAATTTAGAAACAAAAATCGATTAACATTACACTTTTTGCGTTAACCTATTTTCCCTGCACGGTTTAGGTAAGGTAGTCTTAAAATGGCTGAACATTTCACACCAAACAGTTTTCATGTGTTAGCTGAAATAATATTAAGTTTATTAATATCATATTTACATTCTACATTATCGCATTTACATCACGGCGTGTAATGCGGATATTACACCAAAATATAGGACATGATTGTAAAATGTTGATGCTTCTCATTTAAAACATGATTTCTAAAAAAATCAACATTTACGTTAAAAGGTTACCTTGTGCATTAAACAATGTTTCAATTTCAATTCATTCCTTGTAATTTCTAAACTTCTAAATATAAAGTTTATTTTCTTCTTTCTCTTTACAGTTATTAGATAAAGAGGATATTGATATGAAATGTATCACACCGTTAAAAGAAATCGAACGATTTTTGAGAGCTTGCTTTAACAAAACGAAAAATATCTTAGTCAGGTAACTTATACCTTTTTCATTGATATTCTTATAATTGACCAAATCATAAATTAAAATAGATATCCTTTATAAATTCAGCAGCTTGTTAAAAGGCTTATTTTGAGAGCAGAATATATGTATTGACGATTCTTTTTTTTTATTTATTTAAAGGGCTGCAAAGAAATGTGTTAAGTGTGGCACCATCATAGCTAGCGAGAGCGATACAATGAAATGCAAGCAGTGTGAAGCTACTGCATCAGTAGAGACAATAGATCAAGTTTTATCAAAAAGAGAAACAGAAAAACCACAACCACAGGAGCATGATGAACAGCAGTATATATTGTCATTATTATGAGTACAATTAGATTCATAGTGAACAATAAAACAGTGCATGATAATAAGTAGTAGTAAAGGTCTTTGTAATTTAAAAATTATGTCGTTAATTAATTCTGATATTATTGTTATCCGTTTTGGTATTTCCTGCTGAAAAAACAGAGGATATCGCCCTTAGTTAAGACGGTATTTCCCCGGGGATCAATGTCTTATTTAATTGCTTAATAGACTTTTTAAAACTATTTTTACATGTGTTAACTCAAGGCGCCATGAAAAAATGGCGTACTGCAGTGAAAACGTATTTCTGTTATGAAAACCTTACTGTCAAAAGACATTACATTAGAAGGTGGAAAGCATGAAAAACTGTTTCCTTATAATAGAAACCTATAACGAAACGAGGAGTACAAATTTATTTAGAGAAATAATAGCGTTAATGCACCTTTGTTTATGAGTTTACATCTTCAAATGCCCTTAGATTTATAAAATCTTTTAGGGACATCGTCAATGCACGAAAAAGGGCGATCAACCCATTGTTACAATCAAATAATGTATCTTTAACTATGATCTTCTTAAAGTGCATCGGGGATTGATAATGATTATAATTATGTTTCATATTAGATAAGTTCGACGTGTTAAAAACTTTTAATGATTATTTTAAAGTGTGAAATGATGCAGGTAATTACTTTCAAAATTAGATAATATATATTATGAATTATGGCACTTTATAAATATAAATGGGTATTTGTAAAATAGAGTCCCAATACTTATGTGTTAGATAATGATTATAGTGCATAATTGCAGAGAGTAGGGATATGACTCTTATTCATTTCTTTGATTTTGTTTGTTAGCATCATTTATTGAATTATACTTTGAAAGGAGCCTGTATCCAAGACAGCATCTATCCGGGACCAGATATTTGCATTATTGTTTATACATTATACTTTCACTGCACTTGACATATTTTGAAATTGTCATTCATTAGGAAGCATACAATTCCCTCAGTATAATAAGTTGTTAATCTCGTTTTTCTTTGACGTATACTCATTTTTTATCACAACTGTTTACCTCAGTTTTGTGGGATTAAATTTATAGTTAGTAAGTTATGAAGTTAACGTTTACTTATACTCTAACTTAAAGTTTATAAAGATTTGAAGCTTTAGTCAAGTAATTCTTTCAGAGCTCTTTTGTTTGAGTGAATAAATCAAATACAAAATTACAAATATTGACTTTAATTAATATATACTTTATATTATCTATTTTATAGAGCTGTAATGGAAAGGATTCGTGAATATCGTCAACGCTGTAATCTAGTATTGATGGATATTGTGTCACAGCTTTGTTTCGCAGACAATACTTCACCAAACTCAGATGTAATTGAATGGTTATTGTCGTATTCATTCAAAAGTGCGATTGGTGAAGACCAACAATTATTAAAAGAAAATGCAAATGAAAAAGAAGATATTGGAGTAGATTCAAATAAAGTATTCAAAGCATTCCTATTTAAGCACCTTTTGCGCTCAGGGTAAGTATACGTTATAGTGCTGTTCAAAAACATCATACTTTATGGTAAATTTTTTTATTAATATAATTGTTAGGACGCAATTTAATACTATGTGAACTTATTCGTAGTTATATAAATACTGTAATACTGTGCATTACATTATATTCATTGTATAGTAATAAACATTTGATTTGTTTGTTTTAGTGAAAATGAATTCAGGAAGCATCTTGAAAAGTTTTTGAAGTCAATAGTGAGGGATGGGTCTCAGCCAAGAAAATTGGATGATGTCATCGTTTCACTTATATTTAGCATAGAGGTAATTTTGTTAAGGTTGTTTCAATCATATGTTTTCCTTAAATATATTATCCTCAAATACACTTATATTATTAATGCACCCATATGGAGTAATTTTCAGAACTTAAGTAGCTGAATGTTTGTTTAAAAGACTAAGATTATTATCTTGATTTAGTTTATTGAATTTTATATTCTCCTTAAATAAATAGCAATATATTAGACAACATCAACAGGGATAGGTGGCGTTCAATGAACGCAACCCCATAAATTCAACTTTCAGAAAATAAAGAGGTAGCTATGTCTGATAAAATGTAGAAAGCAATATTATCTAGTTTCTTTACCAAGATTGCTAATTGCAATAATGAGTTTGTTGTGTAAAAATGTAAAAAATAAAAGGATACATATCAATATCACCTTTTGTCTGATCTTTCTCTTCATCTTTAAGGACAACCTGCTCGAAACCATCAGTTCAAATGAGATTCGCAATCTTGAACTTATTGAAAAGTGTCTTGGAGACTCACTTCATCTGCTTGAGCAAAATGAAATTTCTGTTGACCAAATATATGGCATAGCACAGGCACGAGCCGCTCTAACAGTAGCTGCAAGCTGCATAGAGTTGGTTTTAACGCAAACTGTAGAACATGAAATCGAGAAAATGGGTGGTATCACAGCCGTACTTAAAAGGGCGGAGTCTTTATGTAAACAGAGAACATTAATATGGTATTATTCTTACACTTAAGTTATATTTCTTGTCTAAGTATATTATCATGCTATGGACTTTGCTGACAAAGACGTTTGCTAGAAGTGTAATCAATTATGTTGTAAAATGCTGCAAACCTGAATATCTAAATAAATTAAAGTTAGTGCATAAAAATGATTTTTTAAACAGCAATTTTGACGACCGACTATAAGTGTAGATTCATTTTATTTATTTTACCCCGATTAAACGAACATTTCATATTTATTTCTCCAGGAAATTCTTGCTGAAACACGTTGCACAAGAATTCGGAACTGATACTTTGCTGTCAGCCTGTAAAAGTTCGAATCATTTGGTGAATTGGATAGCAATGGATGCAAACGTAAGGGTTGTGTATCATTGATATTTGGTTAACAATGTTTAAAAGTTTGCAGTCATAGATGTTATGATTATCAACATAGTCCAATTATCATGTTAGCTATTCAAATAGAATCAATAATTACATTTTATGCGATTTAATGCAGCCTAATCTCTGAATTTATAATACACGAGGTGTGTCCATTCAAGTTTTTTTTATATTCTATAATGCAAAATTGTAACACTTGACTTGCATTTTTTTACAAAATATACGTATTAATACTATGATAATATCGAGTCGCATGCCACATTTTATGTAAAATTCGTGGTAATAATTATTTTGTTAATTTCGATTTAAACTAAGCTCACGTAGAATGATTTTACCGTCTCGTTGAACGTATTCATTAAAAATGTTGACATCATACATTAAAATGCTTTTACATAATGCACAATTTTGTAAACCAGATACAAAAGACAATTATAGGAAAATAAGTTAACAAAAATAATACGGGCGTGAGCGAAAGTTGATATGTATCAAAATTGTTGCAGAAGTCTTAGAAGACAAACGGTCAGCCGGGTGGCCCATCTTTGGATCATAGATTCAATTAATGAAATTATAGCCTTGATGTATTTCATAGAATCACGTGGACGTCAAAATTTCATGACTTGCGCCGCTACTTTTTCGCTATATTGTGTCAAATGTCTGTAACGGTCATGTTATTAAATTTGTGACATTTTGCATGCTAAATTGGTAATATTTTCTTTTGAATTTACGTTATATAATTTAAAATTATAAACGATATCCCCATTTTTTAACTTTATTGAAGTTTAATGCAAACTTTTGGTTCAAACCAAGTAATGTTACTGAAATTAAGATAGACAGTTACAAAAACAATATTTAAGTTCAGATTGAATGGTATTCATGATATAATAATGTATTTTGATCAAAATTTATTCTGATATTAAAAATTGATCACAGGTCACAAGCACTGTTGATATGTACACAGCCTGTGGTGAGGAATATTGCACCATAAAGTGTCTTCTACTGACATCTTTAATTGAAAGTGAACAGAGCAAAGTGCTTCCTTACATTCAAGTAAGATGTGTAATATTTACAAAAAAAAATCATTTTTAATTGCCTATTATCTAGTTATGACTTTTATAAATCCGCGACTTAATATATTCCAATTATTGCATAATAAATAAACATGTTTGTTCCTCAATCATTAATTTGTGTTGTTTTTAATCTCAAATATTCGGTAACAATAGTTTTATTGTTCAGTTTCAGTCATGACTATATGAGCCGCGTCATGACAAACCAACATAGTTTGTTTGCTACCACCATGGATCCAGAACCGCCTGTGCATCCGCGCAGTCTGATCAGGATCCATGCTGTTCGCCTTCAAACCATATTACAAGTAGAGAAACTGATAGCGAACAGCATGGATCCTGATCAGACTGCGCGGAGGCGCAGGCTGGTCTGGATCCATGCTGGTCGCAAACCCACTATGTTGGTTTTGTCATGACGCGGCTCATATTTTTTCGTTGCTTATTACATTTTTAACATTTCTTTCTTTTAAAGATTATGATCATTTTTGATGTTCCGTTTGTGTTACTTATAACATGTTATTAATTAAGAAGTGTTGTACAAGTGCCTTTAATTTCTCAAGAATTCGTTTTTTTTTCATTTTATCATCAGTTTAACTAAGTTTCATTTATTTCTGTATGGACTGATACTGTTCGCATGACCTCATTTACCTGTTTCAGTCGAGAGAAGAAAATCAAACATTAGTCGTAATGTTCGAATTGGCTGTCCATAGGGAATTTCTGCTTCACCATCGCCTTAAAGGCACTGAAACAACAACAGAGGTATAATATAATGATGTTTTTCTGTCAAATATCTACTTTTTAGTGATAATAGTTATCGTTAGTTGTAATAAAACCTACAAACAAATATTTTATAAATATTTCTTGCAATAAACAACTTGTTGTCATTTATCAAAAGGATCTATGAACACATGATTTAATGAATATTGTTGTCCCATTGAATATGTACTGCACAACGATGAATATAATTATAATGTTTCTTTTAAAAAAAAACATGTGTCTATTACTTTCGTTTAAGGAACACAAACTTGTGGAAGAAATCGCACTAGAGTTTAAACAGAGATGTCAAAAAGTATGTTTTTAATGTATTTTAACAATATAAAAATGCATTTGCAATCATGTTTTATTTTTGTAATTTACTAATCAAGTTACCTCTGGCGTGGGTTCGATCCCCGGGAGATGATTTGGTAGTTTAGCGCGGAGGAAGGTAGTCTAGTACTGGTGTAACTTTCCAGGAACATTGGTTAGGAAACTTCCCGCCTATATGACTGAAATACTGTTGGAAAAAGGCGTAAAATGAAACAAACAAACAAACAAATTTGTAATTTAGATAAATTGATTATTAAAAACAATATCGTTTTACTTTTACAAAACAATAAATTTCATATTTGATATTTCCAGCCTTCATTCTTGGCATTGGATGAGAATATTCATATAAAATATAATCTACAAGTCTCAGAAGGAACAGATGCAGATCGTGATATAAGCATAAAATGCATTTTGTTCCACTGGCTCTGTGTTATTAAACATTTTAGCTGTTCTCGCAAGGGCGTCTTGAAACCTTTATTCAAATTAGCTCTTCAACCTGGAGATTTAAAGGTAAATCTTAATTTCACAACCCATTGCTTGATATATGTTGTATATATTTTTTGTTCATTTAGTTGATAAAGAAATTATAAGTTCTTTAATAAATCGCATTACTTTATCATTTAAGTATCGGTTGTGCAAGGTTGCAGCTAATTCTAAACAAACGTTAGAGGAAAAGTGAAATAGCAGCACCAAGAACGTTTTACCTTTCTTTTATGCGTGTTCATGAAACTGTCAGTCATACTGAATTTAATTATTTATGTTAGGATGTATTCCTACCATGTATGCCAGAAGATGAATTAGCGACGATAAGACAACAGTTGATGGATGAAGCCAACAGAGCCTTTTTCGGTGAAAGAACCATGTATTACAGTACGTTTTATTACTTTCGTCGTTATTTCCATTAACAGATAACTGTCGTCTGCTGTAATGTAAATGAACGAAGTAAAACAACATACACATTGAATATACTTTTAATATTACTTTGAAGTATTTTGATAAATTATTTATTAATGTTTCCTGCGATAATTTTAAAGACGAAATTACTCGAATTATAATTTCTTTATTGAGGTAAATGTAATATAGAGATAAAAAAAATACAATACTTTGATACAGTTGTCCAAATGTGAAAATGATGCAAAACCTTTTTCATGTTACTCTTTATAAAAGGTATGTTTTGATGATAGGCTTTTATATATACAAATTGAGGTTTCCTGTTTCTATATTTTTAAAACAAATGTTATTGGAAGATATTAAATCTCCTGAAACTTGTGTGCTTCTATAGTATTACAAGTTCAAATGTTTTGGAATTATCATCTGCTAAAACTGAATCATAATTATAACTAGATGTGCGCTTATTTACAATGACTGATTACTTTTCTCCGACTGCGTATAATTGGTAACAATTTCGGCACTAAAATAATTCAATAGGTGCTGTTTAGGAACAGCGGATATGCATGTTTTGTATCATTTTGTTCAAATTGAACATGTTCTTCAGCAAAAATTTTTAATATGTTACAGAAGATGTATAATGGTAGTTATCATGCGTAAAGTGCTTGTTTTTGGGTTTTGTATCACAAGGAATCGTTCATTGATAGGGAAATTTAACAAATAATAAAAACTTAATTTGGTTCAAATTCAATTTAAGGATGTGAGAACGGACACAGTTACGAGATAGGACAGGTAAAAAAACACTTCGTTATGAATTTGTACTGGCATTCTTGTTCTAAAATCATTGTTATGTGTAAAAAAAGGATATGACTTGAATTTCTGTTTTAATATATAACAATTCTTAGAATAGGTAAGGCTAATTGAATAATTATATACAAATGTTTAATTCTTTATGTATCAATTATACCAGTTCTAAAGTCTTAATTTTAAAAAAAAAACATTCAAACTATGAAATCTTGACTGACCTCCTTGAAGCATAATTATAATGATATAAACTTACTAAATGAAGTTACTTTTTAGACAGCTAAAATTGTTTAAAGTCATACACTTGTAACAGGTTATTCAATTTTCATTTTTAAAATATCGAAATGCGCCTTATATTCCCTTATTCGTATTTATAGTTTTAAAATTTGTGATAACAAGTTTCAAAAAATTATATGAAATTATGTTTCCTTTTGTATTTCATAGTGCGGACGTCCTTGGGTGAAAGCAAAATGTTTATGTGGAGCTGATATTGGTGGAAAGTCCCATAAACTGCACAGTGGAAATGAACCGGATGATGGGTATCTTTTCAGATCTTAAAATCTTTAGTACCATTTGCTGAACTAGGTTGTTTTGTTAGAAAACGTGATGATGCTTGGGTTTGATCCCTTCATATAATGACAATTCATTGCGAAGTTTCCTTTATTTGGCATTTAAATGAGATACATATATTCTCTCGTAGTCTCTTCCTAAAGAGAAAAATAGATATAGATTTAAAACCGCAAAAAAAATGTTTTAAGATAGAGAAAATAGAATCTCTGAAGAAAGTTCAAATCAACAAAGTTGAAAAGGCTAATTGAGACTTTCATACATGAACAGTTCTGAAAAGTGCAAGCTTATATTCATACTCTTTTAACACCGACTAAACGTTTGAAATGAATTTGTTTAAAGATAATATCCCTCAATGTTAAACTGCGTTCTTTAAGATGTGTTGGTCAAGGTAACCCAGCCAGATATTATCTTTTTTAGGCATTTTGACATGTAGATGCAACAACTATGTCTGTCTTTTATTTTTGTTTTCAAAATTGCATTTCATGTTTAAATTTGTAGATCAGATCGCTCACAGAAAGGCCATTGCTTAGGTTATCCTCAAGACCGTCAACCAGGAGCGGTGCCAGAACGATCATTGAGTGCTTTGCAAAACGCATTGTTAAAGTGCTTACTCCATTTGTCGATGTATTTAGGATGCGGAAATTCACAAAATGTTGGTGTTTATGATAATAAATAATTTTCTTTAAAGATTGCTTAGTGTTAGAGTTTCACAAGCCTAACTTTGTCTTGAATTTAAGTGTTGTTTTCATGTGTGCCCAGTAGATGAGCACATTATCATGTGTGTAACTTTAATTAAAAAAATATCAAATAATATTTAACACCATCTTTGATGTTAGTAACGTAGATATATAATCACTATCTGGTTATGATAATATTTGAATGTTTAAGGATGTTGCTTCTATGGCTAAACAAGAACCCAAATCGATACGCATTTTCGTATGGGATCATATCCTTATTGATTTTGAAGATCTCATGAGCGGTATGTGTGCCCAGTAGATGAGCACATTATCATGTGTGTAACTTTAATTAAAAAAATATCAAATAATATTTAACACCATCTTTGATGTTAGTAACGTAGATATATAATCACTATCTGGTTATGATAATATTTGAATGTTTAAGGATGTTGCTTCTATGGCTAAACAAGAACCCAAATCGATACGCATTTTCGTATGGGATCATATCCTTATTGATTTTGAAGATCTCATGAGCGGTATGTCGCTTAACAGAGACGAAGTCCTACTCTTAATGCATAGCTTGATAGATTCTATTCTTAGAACAGGGATACAAAGTGACTGTAAGTACGTTTTAATTTCTAAAAACATAATAGAACCTAAAAACTGACAAATAAATGACATTTTCTATATTTCTTAACAATAGACAATAACTACTATAACTTATACAATAATGAAATAACTTATTATAACATGAATATTACAGGCATTGAGTCGTCTGAAGAAAAATGGCCTGGGCAGTCGTTGCCGTTATATACAGATGAACTTCGACTTACACTCACAGACTCAGAGTCTGACAAAAAAGACAATAATGAAGACATAGAAGATGACCATGAGGAACATGCAGCAGATTTTCATCCACATACCACTATGGTTACTGATGATGATGATGATGATAATGATATTTATGATGGCGCTGCGACTGCTGCTGCTAATGATGATGATGATGATGATGGTACAGGTATGCAACACACCTTTTCTGTGCAACGCATTGAAGATGAAAGCGATAGTGAAGATGAGACACAGGCTGAATGTTTTGGACATAGTAATGATGATCTTCTAAAAGAAGAACAACCTTGGGAAACTAAGCTTGGACGAGGCCGCTGGGAGGAAGAATTTGCCAAACTATTTCTTTCTCGTTTTTTAGAGGTATTGAATATTTTGCTCTATGACTTGCTTGTGCAGATAACTAGAACTGATGTCAATGAAGTTTTGTTGGAATTCCTTTACAGCACAGAAAGTAATTCATTTTATTTGTTTAACCATGAAAGTTTGAATTTCTTATTTTAAAATAATGATTCATTTGAAAAAATGATAGTAACTTTCTGAAAGGATGCATCGGCGTCATACGTAGATGTACTATAAATATTCTAAGTAAAAATGATATAAAAATTAAATATACTTCTGATCTTTTACCTTTGAATATTGATATGTTTCTAACTAGGAAAGGAAAACCACTCTGAATTTAGCCAAACAGCATTTACAAGGTATGTAAAAAATTCAGAATACTTTTAGAATCCTTTGTATATTTTTTTCGGAAAGTCTTGCAAACCAATGCACTGTCACTGATAAAATATAATTTAAAAGAAGACATAGACAATGTTTTTATTTCTTCTTTTTAAATATTTCATTCATTGATCTGTAAATGTCCTCAAAATAAACTTATTTCTTATTTGTTACTTCGTCGCTTTACACACAATATTGTATTTATCCCACTAACTCCAAAATAATTATTTGCAAGATTAGCAACGTCTGTTGTGTCTTTCACATTTCAATAACTTGTGATTTTCAATTGCATATTGAGGAAATTAATAGTTAAATGATTGGTCCATCACATTCCATTATCTTACTAAAATTATCACAGAAAATTGATGCCGACATTACATTCGACCGATTAGGCTCTGATTTTCTGCTGGGCAGATGATACACACAAGTTTGGTTTTACAATTTTTGGAAAAGGGGATAATGTAAATAAAATCACAATACACTAATAATGAGAAATAAACTTTGTGTGATTTTCATACCATTGGATGCATAATAAATTGCTTTTCCATGACCATGTAAATAATTATATAAAATGAAACCACATGTTGATGCCAATTTTCATACGCTCGTCTTGTAGACAACAAGTTTACAGAAATCCATAAACATTTGTATTCTGACAAGAGGAAAATGAAAAAAACATAAATTTAACCACAATAATAAACAAAGGTTTTTGTAGATTTTGAAATTATTTGCCTATTAATTGGCTTTTATTTGCTACTGAAAGGTTAAATGCATTATTATTTAGAGTTTTCATCATATACCGATATGTTTATTTTTAATAACAAACCTTTTTAAGACTATACTTGGAATGTCCTTGTATATCTTAAGATCAAGGAAAGTTTATTTTTATAAAGAAAATACAACATACGTCTTTATGAAAGAAACCTGAATAACTGCCTCATTTTTTCAACAACATTTGCTCTACAAATGTTTATGCTATATTCTTATTGCTTTTTGTATACAGAAACCAGCACCACAGGCATTTTGGCAGTGTTGAATGATAGACAAGCAGATGACAATATGCAAGAAAACAAAGAAGACAGTAAAATTTCTGACAATCCCTTAGTTTGGATTTATCGAAAACCTGTCTCGGTTGAGCATTTTATACAGGCTTTTCAACGACATTTGGAAACATGTCAATCAGGCGAAACGAAATTTACTGTTCTTTTCATGTTTTTAAAACAGGTATTTATTGATATAATCAATCAAATGTAACCTATTTTATGTAACATATTCTTAAAATAGATAGTGAAACACAGTACAATTGTATTGTATGTAAGTTACATAGAGAGTATCGTATACTTTAAAGCTGCTCATTTTTAGCCAATTTTGTTGTAATAATAATAATAATTTTAAAAAATTAACATTTAAAGCCGTCTTATTAATTATTAATATGATGTGTGATTCTTTAAGATACAGGCACTAGAAGCATTGCGGTTTGTTCCGAGTATTATTCAACTGAACAAGATGTTAATACAACGATACAATAGAAAGATATACCAGTCAGAGGCATCAGAAATTACAATTAAAAAAATCAAAGAAGGTATGTCGTATTTGGATTTCCTTATCGTGCCATTTTTTATTATTAAAGTTGAATTTTAATCTGTCTTTCATTTGAGATGTATTTGATCCGAATTATCGATCGAACATTAAGATTAATTATATTACAGATGTATTTGCCGGTAAAGACACAAAAATCCTTGAGGACATGGTTGAAGCTTGGAATACTGTCAGAAACGCTTTGAAATACCACGGTATGTTTACACAATTTTTTTATTAATAACAATTATCTTCTAGTTTGTCACTATTTTTTTTATATTTGTGAGTGGTAAATAAAGAGCAGTATATAACATTTATGCATTTTTTATTACTTTCCAAAAAGACTTCACGACTGACAAAGGTAGAACAGCAATACCTTTGGAATGGGCAAATATGCGCTTTACAGATGAAACAGAATTGGCATATTTACTTCCTGCGATGGATGGGAAGGGCATTTGTACCTTTGCTCTTTTGGACTTTCTATTACGGCTTCAAAACGAGCTTATAGAGACATACATATCGTCATTAAGGTAAATGTTATATCGAACAGATATAAAACACTATAAAAACAATACTAAATCATTATTTAGAGGGGAAAAAACAGTTAGTTAGACAAGATATATTACATCATGAAGATAATCATATTGCTTAAATTTATTGAATTTTGTTACTTTATTTAGCTGTTTTATTAAACTTATTTTCTCATACTAAACATAGTCAGGAATACTCGCTTAGTTAAAGTGGCTTAAAATATACTAAAAACCATTTTTTTTTTGTTTTGTGCATATCTTAGTACATTTTTAAACATATCTCGGCGGTCAGTCCACCAAATAGATCTACAAAATTAATGACATTTTGTTCCGCATGAGGCCAACTACCTTCCAAACAAATGAGTGTCCGAGAGCAATTGTCAACGATACATTCTCCTATGCCCAAGGATCGAACCTGCCACTCCTGTATGACTTATCAAATGCTTTCCATATTGAGCTCAGTCGGAATTAAACGTTAATAAAGTGATATTTATTGCTTTGAAAATCGTTGATTTGTAAACTTATTCCACAAATAGTCCAGCATTATAATACACTTATTTGACTATTGATAATGTTTTATAATTACACTTTTTTACTATTCATAGCGGCCAAATGAAGCAAGTATTCTCGGTTGTCGAACCTCGTGATATAACAGCTGCTCATTTGATAAACTTCCATCCAGAGAAAGATCTACTACCGATCATTTTAGAAAACTGTACAATGAGTTCCACACACATCGTTAGTGATGAGTATGACTTTAAGGCGATACAAAAACGTATAATAGACAGATTTATTTCGACAAAGTCAAAGGTTGCGTTTGACCGCCGTTTCAAGGTTGTTAAATATTTATTGTGTTCTGTTTTTCAAACAAATGACTATATACTATAATTATAATGATAAATGCTTTATTTGTTACGAGGGTGGGTATTATATAGTGCAATGTGACGTATAATCTGTGAATTTCGTGCATATGTATATTATATTATCCTCCATATCTTTGGTATAAATTGTATAGATGTTGTGCGTCTTATTTATACAAGTGAATGTTATTTATTTATCTGAAATTCACTATCAGATGAATGTAAAAAAATGTTCAGTGTTAAATGTTATGAAAGTTGTGTAAATCTGTTTTATTTATCAATCACTGCAAAATGCTACCAAAATGAAAAATGACAAAACATACAATTTACTGCGCCCTTTGATCGGTATTAAAGGTTTATAGTTTTTCAATGACAACACTCCTTCACAAAAGATATCAACCTTGACTAATTTCTTTCGCAAATGATATATGATGTTCCTTAACAACCACCGTATTAGCTAGAATTTGTAACCTTTGGCCTTTTTCTCTTCTCAGATCCGACTTAACGTCTTGCAAATTGGTTGTAGCAAATAATGATTTTGACTTTGGATAATCATCTTTAAGTTGTCGAACAGTACAGCTGAAAAAAAATACTATGTTAAAGCATTGGAAAGCTGGATAAAAGTCTGAAAATTTGTCTTTTTTTATAAATGAGGTGAAGATGTTTGGCAAGATTGAAATAAAATCTAATTATATGTATGCCTTATTCCTTTTCCCCCACCATATTCTAATACATTTTGACCTACGTTACCATCAAATATAGAAGATGTAATGTTACGACAGTTTATCGAATACGAGTATATATTTAACCAAAATGACATGATACGTTGTATTTGATTTAGGGAATTTAATGTACTAAATAAATATGTGATAATGCAAATGCATATTTGAATCAGATACTTGTTACAAAAGTAAAGGGACATTATTTCGTATTGTATGTGATATTTACAGAGTAAAACAGATTATGACGCAAGTATTTTCCAGCGTTATGTCTTAGAATGTTTTATTGATATGCTTATCTGTTTCCCTTATTGTACGATAATTGTCATTGTTTTTAAATAACCAAAGAGATTTTCCTTCAGATTTTTAATGGAAACGTTTAAAAGTGTATAAGGCGGCCTATGTCATATTATCATATTATCATTTATATTTTCTTCAGATTGACCTTATAGTTTACAGATCAGAAATGACCGACGCAAGTCAGCTTGACATTTTGCACACCAAAATTCCACAGGTTTAACAATGATTTTTTCCGTTGGATTTATAAGTACACATTTGTTTCAAACAACACTTACTTATACTAATTATTAATCAACATTCGTTTATTATTTGCTTATGTTTTATTATATAATTTGTTTATGTATTTATTTATTCATTTATTTGTTTATTTATTTATTTATAAATTTATTTATTGTAAAATATGTATAATAAAAATACATTTTTTTGTTATTTTTAAATTATTTTGAATTTCTAAAATAGTTTCATCTAGATATTTCAATACTGACAACTATTTAATTTGCTAGAATATTTGTATTGTAAATTGCTAATGCATTGTGTGCAACGTCTTTAATTACAATTGTTTCAACTGTCATCACAGGAGAGATTAGATCCTGGTGCTAAACTTGATTTATGTAACCAAGTACAAGACGTTCCAAGCCTAGGTCAACTACTTTCTCAACTGGATATTGCAATTAACTTCCTAAATATAACGGGCGGTGAACCTGGCGATTCTTTGCATGAATATATGCTTGGAAAGTTACAACTTAAAAGCACGAAGCTATCATCGAAGGTTTGTACTTTTTAACTAATACGTCTTTGTTAATCTTAGTAGTAGAAATAATATCTAAAGAATGATAAAAAATAATCTTATGATACCAGTGATGTGAAGTGAAAATGTAATGTGTGATGATTATTGTTACAGATACAGCAACATTGTCGTTTGAAGCATGTCAAATCATTGTGGATGACCATTTCGTTCCATAGATCTTATATAATGGCTAGACAAGGCAAACAAGTGCAGGTACTTCTATACAATATAATCTTATAAAACCTTTTCAGTTATATAAAGGGCAATCCTGAAATATAAGTGAACTTGCAAGCTAGATTAATGTACGAGTAATACTATATTTACAGTTAACTCATTACCAAGCTAATTTAAGAATTTCACTTGTACTTGTTCCTTTTTTTTTTTATAAAATCTAAAAGTGAACTGGTGTGTAAACAGGGTATGTAAAAATGTATATATTTGTTGAAAGCATGTATAATCAAACAATATTTCAAACCACACAATAATGATATATGTATGTATGCTGTTGGCTAGTGCGATATTCATGATCCGAAAAAACATATATTTATGTTGCAGATACTTACGTGTTTTTAGAACAAAATATAATTGATCATCATATAAATGTTTAGACACTAAATAACTTGAAACTTTACTAACATTTCATATTTAAATATTTTTTTAAGAATTAAACATTTCTATTGTTTTTATCAATCTTTGAAATACCTTCTTTGGAAAATGTGTCCATTGTACACCAATCCACGTTTAATACTTTTCTTACACAAACTATTTATATTTACAATTACTTGTATTATATACTCTTTAATTAGTTTCTTATAAAGAAACACATTAAAGATAAACGTTATCATGGATGAAGAACTGTATATCACACTTTTTGTGTATAATCTTTAGGTCATATTCGAAAACATTGAAAGTGAATACCACGAGACATTACCGGAAGATATCATGTCAATATGTGAAAATTTTGCGGAAAGTCTATCAAAGGAACGCCTGACAAAGCTGCTTGAATTATTGTACGAGTTTATCATGCTGGAACTAGCGAAGAGGGAAAATAAAGATGCTGAAGATTACTTTGATAAAAGTCAATATAGGTGAGTTACATTAGTTAAAATTTATAACTTGTGTCTTTATTTTTTTTGATTTATTTTCTTTCATAATTATTAGTATCGTTTATTATTATTTATTGATATTAATATATAATTATGATTATTACTATTATTATTATCATTATCATTATTTTTTATTTTAATTATAATAATAATAATAATAATAATTATTATTATTATTATTATTATTGTTATTATTATTATTATTATTATTATTATTATTATTATTATTATTATTAAAAACACATAATGCAATTAAGTGCGCCCTTAGATCGGTATAAAAAGTTTTTCAATGAAAACACTCCTAAAAGATAGGAACTTTGACAGATTTCTTTCGCAAATGATGTATGATGTTCTTTAACACCAACCGTGTTAGCTAGAATTTGCAACCTTTGGCCTTTTCTTCTTCTTCTCAAATTTTTCGAAACGTCTTGCAAAATGGGTTATTTTAATTATAACAAAAGATTGATTGGAATGTGCTAAGTAAGTGTTTAGTTCAAACAATATATATGTTTCATCTAAATTCTTATTCACATTTTTTTATTTGTTGGAAAAGTTTCATTTCATCTTGTTTCATGAGCTATATAAAAAGCGCACTTAAGTATCTATTCATTAAAAATATCTATTTGTTTTATAAACACTAGCTTCTATTTCATAATTTTTACATTGCGTTATATTTTAAAATTCTCAGACTGAAGGACTGCCTTACGGCGTTTGATGATCTAAACGGACTAAATGTAGATGTTCACGATATCCCAACTTCTGTCCTCAGCATTCATTCTCTGCATATGTGGATTGTTGTTTCAAAGAGTTTGGAATCAAGAGGACTTGAGAATAATTATGAAACTGAAATTTGAACGGACATACATCGAGTTGTTTCAGTAATAACATGGGATAAAATAGTTATTGTTCTGTTTTTTTAAGACAGAATATCAAATGAACTTTAAAGTGGTAAATTTACTTTCCTGGATGTTTTATGGTTGAGGTATTGTTTTCTAGGTTATATCTTGATTTGATTATTATTCAAATTTCATGATATCATTTATCCAATTGTAAATATGTCTAATTAGCATGATATAGTTATATCCCTAAAAAAATTATTAAGTTAGCAAACTATTTGAAAAGTTTTTTTTTTCAAAAATGCTGAATGCAGATGTGAAGAAGTGTATTGTCACCTTTGACATCTGCCATTATAATATAAAATCGGAAGCTACATATATTGTACAAATTCTTCATTATGATAATGTCATGAAATATTCCTGAAAATGTAGTTTACATCGTCATAGTAAACGAAGTGAAATAGAAAAACGATCAAGTAAATATGAAAGTTCAGCATGGATGAATAAATATATTCGTGGCCCAAAACTCTGTAATATATGTGATAATATTCTCTTCAATATTTTATTTTTGGTTGATTTGTGTTTGAATTGCATGTGTAAGTAAGGTACCTGTTTATGATTTCAGACTTATTCGTCTTCATTTAATTCAAACATATATAATACGAATGCGTACGAGTGTCTGTATGATTTGTTTAAAATTAAAATTATAATGAGTATGTACTATAACAATTTAGAAGTTTTCATTGTGTATTAAATATTGTTGTCTTATAAAATGTGTGTTTGTGTGATTAAACATATTTGACATCCTTATATTGCATATATTTATGATCTGTTCATATTATGCATCTCTAAGTAAAATGGAGGTTCGTCCTTCTGATTTTGTATATTTCTGTGCTGTAAAGGGTTTGGCTTACTTATATTGTTTAAATGATTTGAAAAATTGACCTTTTACAATTGTGTATGTCTCTGATTGATAGTTTTTGACGTTCATATTGTGATTTTCCCTGATTTATACTATTTGGTCCTTTATAGTACAGTGCACATTAATATAAAAAATGTGATCTTTTACATGTTGTATGTGCTTGATTAAACAGATAAAGCATCTTAACATTGTTTTTATGTTTAATCAGATTATGTATATTCATATGATGCGTGAAAACGGCTGGATATTTTATATTCCTTTGCTTTGATTGAAAGGATGTTTCTTATTATTCTCGTACTGTGTCTTCAGATGTGTTAAGATGTTTGACATTGTTTTATATTATAAATGTTTATGACTGAAAAGCTTTGGATTATTTATTATACGGTATTTTTTTATCTTAGGAGTTTGGTCCCTTAAATTGAATAGTTCAACTATTTAAAGCATTTCACCATTTCATACAGGTACTGATTGTCTCTAAAACAAACACATAGACCTATTTATTTATTCTGTGTGTTTACTATGATTAGACATATTTGACCTGTTAATATTGTATATATCTATACCTGAAAGCAGTTGGTCGTAGTGTATCTATGTTAAAACAAATTACATAATGTGTGTTTAAGGCTACAATGTTTTGGCATTTTTTCACATTGCGTATATACGGTTTAAATTTTAGGTATTTCTATTATTGTGTTATTTTTATTACTTATAATATTTTTCCTTTTGACATCGTGTTTTTCTATTATCAAAGTGATTAATTATCATGTTCCAAATTTATGCAAATATATATTTTGAGACTAATTTTGTCATTTTATATTCAATTTGTTTATTTCTATTAATTTTAAATCTTTATTTCGTGAATTTATATTTTTAAACTGCTATATTTTTTTCTTCCAATATATTTCCAATTGTAATTATGTCTATCTAACATGCTTAATTATGATACTTTAACATATACTACTATCAAGATTGCAAAATAATTCAAACAGTATTTTCAACAATGCTGAATGCAAGTGTGATGAAGTATGTTGTCACCTTTCATATATACAATAATAAAATTGAAACGGAAGCTACATATATTGTACATATTCTTACTTATAATAATTTCATGAAACATTCCTGGAAATATAGTTAACATCGCCATAATTAAAGTCATGAAATAAAAAATGATAAAATAAATCTAGAAGTGCAGCATTGATGAGTGAAAATATTCGTGCTATGATTTGACATTTTCAAAACTGTTTTTATATGAACGTGACAATATTATTTCAATATTTTATTTTGTTGTTTTAATATGTTTGAGTTGCATGTGTGCGTTTGGTACCTGTTTATGATTTCAGACTTATTCGTCTTCATACGAATTAAACATATATGATAAACGTTCATGTAATTGTATATATGTTTTGTTTAAAATATTTATTTTTTATGATTGTGTAATTTTCTATTTGTATGATTAAACATATTAAACATCATTTGCATATATGTGAGATATTCATATTATGTATCTCTATGCAAAATGGAGGTTTCGACCTAATTTCGTGATTTTCTGTGCTGTATAAAGTTTGGTCAAATTGATTATTTTTTTATATTATTTGAGAAGTTGAACTTTTACTTTTGTATATGTGTCTGTTTGAAAAGATTTGGACATTCTTATTGTGATTTTCTTTCTGATGTATACTATTTGGCTCTTTAAAGTATTGTGAACTCTACATGCTGTCTGTGTTTGATTAAACAGATAAAGAATTCTTACATTGTTTATATCTTTAAGCAGATTTTGTATTTTCATATGATGCAAGGAAACGATATAATATTCCATATTCAGTTCTGCTTTGGTTGAAGGGATTTTCTTATTATACTGCGTCTTTATATGTGTTAAAATATTTGATATTGTTTTATATTGTGAATGTCTATGACTGAAAAGCTTTGGATTATTTTATAAAGGTATTTCATTTATCTAAAGAGTTTGGTCCCTTAAGTTGAATAGTTCAACTATTCAGAGAATTTCATAATTGGATACATGTATGTGTGTCACTAAAGCAACCAAATTGACCTATTTATTTATTCTGTGTTTTCCTATGATTAGAAATATCTTACTTTTTAATATTGTATATCTCTTTACCTGAAAGGAGTTGGCCGAATTACATAATCCTTTTCTATGGTAAAACATAAAGCCATTTACATAAAGTGTATTTAAGGCTACAATTTTAGGCCTTTTACACATTGCGTATATACTGTTAAAGTTTAGGTCTTTGTAAACTTATGTAATTTTATATGGCTTTAAGATTTTGCCTTTTGATATGTGTATTATCAAAGTGATTATCATGTTTCTTACTAATGCAATTATATTCTGAAACTGATTTTGTCTTTTTATTTTCAATTTGTTTATTTCTATTAATGTCAAACCTTTATCTTATGAACTGATATTTTTTTTGAGTTGTTATTTTTATTTTTTCTTCTTTTAGTATATGAGAAGCAATCAACGATAGGGATTGTTTTTGATCCGCCTGTCGATATATTCCTGTACAATGTTAAATGATTTCAAAATATAAATTATTTTTTCATTGTACAAATATAATTTGGAATATATGATCGTTGATTTTTTTACTTGTATTTAGTTTTCCTTTAAATATATGTAAATTGGTATAAGAATATATTTATTTTGAAATAATGCTTGAGAGAGAGAGAGAGAGAGAGAGAGAGAGAGAGAGAGAGAGAGAGAGAGAGAGAGAGAGAGAGAGATTGTTCGTATTTTAGATATCAATTTCTACTGGTTAGCCTTTTTAATGATTATAATTGGAAAACGAATAATCAATAAAAAGATCATAATAGATTGTATAAGAATGCAAATAAATTTCTGGAATTATCATTGGCTTCAATACTTTTTATACTGTGCAGTGTATACTGTGAATAACTGAAACACACACTTCTACTTCATAACGGTGATTTATCTACGCGTGTGCATAAAATGAATAATTGTTTCCGGTTCTTTCGATTAAAAATATATTTAATAGTGTTATTTCAAAAAATAAGTTACTGTTTACACCTGAATAAGGAATAAATGCTTAAATTATTTTTTATTGCGCAGCATTTGTGTGGCTGTTGAACGTCAGATGTCACCATTTTTTCCGTTCTTCTTTTCAGGTCATTATTTAGTAATAAGTTCGATTAATGACTGACTCATCACTATGAATCAATATATTTCTACTCCATGACTAGCACATTAAGGTCTATATTTGCATGTTTTTGCATTGTAAATTTGCAACGGTCTTCCTTTATTTCACAATCATTTACTTTTAAGTACATTTTGATATTTTCATGAAGATAAGCATGGAACTGAAGGTATGTTGCTCTAATTTACATGATAAACTTCACATGTAACAGTATTATCAAGTACATATAGTTGGCAGTTTGGAAAATAATGCCTTTTTATGATCATGTAATGATTCAATGATTGATTTTTGATTTTGAACATGCAAGTAATACATGCAAAATTATACAAATAAGATCACTTGGAATCTTAAGGAAAGCTTAATTTTGCCTGTAACAATCAATTTGTCATAAAATATATAATTAGTTTACATGAATTCTCTAATGTCAAGATTCTAAGTTACGTTGTTTATCTTAAAAGTTATAGTAAATCAATTTATACTTAGCTAAACTTGCTCGCATTACAAATGGTACGAAACCGACTAAATGTTATAAGACAAATAGTTTTTGCTCGGCCAACGAGTGCACATAAATACCTGTTTCATACCCGATTCTCTCTGGATAAAGATTGATTGCTTGTTTGTTTAATTGGGTTTTACATCAAACCGACACATTACAGCTCATATGGCGACGTTCAAGCTTTACTGGTGGAGGGAGACCTCAGGTGCCCTTCAGTGCATTTTTTGTTTGGCATGCACGAACGGAAACCTGAGTAGAACCACCGACGTCCCGTATGCTAGCTAGATAGCTTTCGCACATGAAATAGTCCAAAGTCCTTGTCGGGATTCGAACCCACAGCGGTGAGAGGCAAGTGTTTGAAGTCAACGACATTCACCACTTGGCCACTGACGCCCCTTCTGGATAAAGAAGAGAGATTAATATGTCAATCTTTTTATATGAATAATTGGTATAGTTTCCTTCCAAACAATTGGATTTAACACAATCTCTCATAAAAGAAACTAAAAGAAGAACAAAGTTCATGTTTATTACAATATAAATGATTATCTTACAATGTTATGATCCCTAGATTTGTAATGCTCTGATGTTCGTTATACATTTTTTATGCGAAAGTACAGTCATTGTTTGTCAGCATGTACGCTTTTATTTGTAACCTGAAATAACAAATAAAGAAAAGAAATAAAGATGGTTAGAGTAACGGGATAAGTACAGGTACTGCACCAAATGAAGGAAAACAAGAACATAAATTGCTAAGCTATTGTCACTGACGTCCGAAAGAAAATACATACAAGTAAGGAGCACATTTCGTTATATCGTAATGTGACAATCACCGTTAAAGTTTCTTTATATCAATCAGTTCCAGATTAAAATGTTTTGTTCAAGTTAAATGTTTTTGAATATTAAAAGCAAAATATGTTACTGCAATTGGGTAATTATTAGGTATTGTGTATTCAAACAAAAGATTGATTACTAAATATTAGGATGATAAGACATTCTTTTGTGTCCTTGCCCTTTGATATAACCAAATGAATCTTCATGATAGTCTGTTTTGATATATCATTAGCGAAACTTCAACCTTTATGCACATTAAAATGTCAAAATTCTTACGGGAACATAGAGTATAAATTAAGAACATATTAAACAGTTTATTTTATTGCTATTATTAATGATAATATAAATTGAAGGAATCAGGTTATCTATGCAATAATTAGTTTGTTGAACTCCTGTAACCAAGTTGCAACTGCATATTAAATATGATCGACAATTTAGCACTAACTACCTCAACTGTGATTGATTCAAACCGCAAAACTATAGATTTAACGTGGCAATTCATATCTAAACATAAACTGTAACAATGTATTAATATATCATGAATATTATAAAATAAAATTTTGTCTTTCTTTTAGAGCATCCTATTTGTGCACTGAAAATGAAAAAAAATTCATACGAATAAAAGAACATTATAAACAGATTAATATGTTTCTTTCGAGTTAAAGCTGAATTCAATGATTAAATGAATTCCAAAGAGTTTTTTTACATAAAAATAAAATTATTTTCCGAGATAAATGCTTCATTCGGATATAGGTCTAGCCGAATATGTTTTGTTCAAAATTGCAGATCATTCGCTCACTCCGTTTTCAAAGAATATTTATTCTAATTGTGAAAAATGACCCAAAATTAAAAGAAAAATCAAACCAGGCATAGAATGGCACTATATACGAGTTTCAATTAACTTCTAGTATATTTCTTAATTATCCTTTGCATATTTCATATCTTTCTCTTTTAAGTGCCCACGTTTATTATTGTGTAAGACATTCAAATTACATGTGTTCCAGGCTTTTAGACATCATTGGAGTTCCTTTTAAGCACAATTTCATGAGTTCAAATACACAAGGAAGAATCGTTTTTGTTCCAATATAATAACATATTTTAAAATATTGGTATTATTTTTGCTTGGTTTTGATTCATGACAGGAAAGTTATGTAATATGTATAAAATTTGAAAAAAAGCAATAATTATAAGTAGTATTATTGAGTCTTAGCCTTTCTTACCTGATTTCTTGCAAACAAGGACATAGTCATTATCATCACTGCCATCAGAATCTTTATCACACTTTACTAACTGACATATTTTTCCATCTCCACAAGCCTAAGAAATAAATATCGACATGGATTGTATCTAAATCACAATATAATTATATCGTTTATGAGCTCAAAATTATTGCAGAAATGTCCATGTGTATGTACTTTCACAAGACAGAGGCAATTACTGTATATAGAAAGGAAGCAACTCAATGTGTGATCAACTGCATAATTTCATCAATTTAACTCGTTAATGTACAAACTGCTAATTTATTATTTACATATAATAGTTAACACTCAATTTTTAGAAAAAAATGAAACGAAAAATTAATTAAAAAACTTACGTCACCGGCATTTTGATCATCTTCACATGGTTCTGAAGTTAAAACATAACTTTAATATAACACATCAATATGTACGAGGCCTTTGCCAAAGTTCCCTGACACGACTGTTTAAAATCTAAATTATGTAGGAATAAAAATGATACTAATTTTATTTAGTGTTTCAAATTATTTTTTGTCCAATAGACCCTTTCATTTAAGACCGTATTCAAGTTGTCGCCATTGGGGATACAGTGGACAATGCCGATACGATTAAGTACAATAGTAGAGAGTTATAAAGATCTTAATCCTTTCTCTTGTAAGATTGGCAGATTGAAATTGCCAAATTTTTGTGTAATTGAAT